ACGTTTTATACAGATGGCACGACAATCCAACCACAAAGCTACGAAATACGAAACTCGAAGAAGGAAGCAGCATATGGTTCTCCCCATCCTTCAGAACCTTTCTCGTTCCCGATGCCACCGGCGATCTGCCTCTCGCACGTCCTTGTCGGAAAGCTTTCAGGGACCCTTCAGTGTGATCAAGGGCACGCCCCCATGCAGAGAGCCCTGGAATCAGTCCTGATATTCGAATGGGAGATGCAGAAGCAGCTTCATTCAGGGAAAGTTGAGCACTTGGTGCACGATGCTTGTTCGCGGCTTTCCCAGGCGTAGGACGAGGTGGAGGTGATTGGGGAGTGTTGCGCTGTGTCAGTTCAGTCTTGATACCAGTCCCAGACGATGAGGATCCAGGTATGGATGCATTCCCGAGTGAGCTAGTACCATAATAACTGGACGCCAAACTTGACACCTTGTGTGTCAGAGTACGCATTGCAGACTGGCGATCATAGGCACCAAACGAGGTTGTCTCTGGATCTGCACTGTGTGGAGGGGAGGACAGTGCAAGACCGGCAGGTGTGACCAGTCGAGTGACGGATGTGTCTTTGATGAAGTAGAGTGAACGGATGAATCAGAGAGTCCACGAGGTCGGAGGACACGTCTGGGATTCGGATACGCATCTCGGTTGTCATCTCCAACCTCATCGGTCTCCTCTTCAAAATCGGCTGCAGAGTGCTCGAGGATCACACTTCTCTGGCTCATTGAATCGATCACCGCATCCACGTTGCGAGGCACACGTTTTCTGCGCGAGGGACCCTTGGGAGTCGCAAGCGGGCTTCCAAAATCAGCTGTTGACTGAGCGGGACGAATTTTGTTCCCCTTGCTTGATTTACCAGGCAGGACAACCCAAGATTCGCCCGAGTCGGTGAAGCTCTGAGAAGCACCAGCAAAAATCCCAAACAGATCGTCGCGACGAGTCCGAAATCCTGGGGCCGTGGTTATGGTCGGAGTGGAAGGTAAAGTCGATATGCCACCGCCAGCGAGACTTCGTGTCGGAAATTCGGCAGTTGAAGAGACTACGCGATTCGCGCGAGAACTTGAAAACTCAACGTTGACCGTTGCAGGTGAAGAAGACACAGCTGCAGCGAGTTTCGGGGCTGTGCGCGCCGGGACGCGACGTTTCGGTGATCCACTGCTGGATGGAATAGCAACGGCATTTCTTCGGACCTGCGCATTGGGGGTCGATGCTTCTGTAGAGGCAGAGAATAATTTTGAAATTGGCGCAATCCATCCCATAGTGGCGCTCTTTTCTTGTGAGTGGTCCGTCGGAGTACCCAATCCCGCTGCAGCGGATGGATCAAGAATAATCTCATTGACGGTCGACCTCAGCTTCCCAAGCTCCGTAAACACGTCTTTTGAGAATCTTAGCATGTTCTTCAGATCCTTCCTGGTCATATCATGGTGCTCCATTTCCAGCACCCCTTTGAGGTGGCTGCGCAGGTTGCCTGCGTCATTCACGATTGATCTAATCGTTGTTCGGGAAAGATGGCCAACGTCTCCACCGGCGATGTGTTGCCTTTTGAGTCGTGCAGTCAAAGTCTCGACGTCAGCCTGGCTAACGCGACCCAACAGAACGTTCAGTCTATCAATAAGACCAGAAAGGAGACCAGTCAGGGCTGGGGAGTACTGGGGGCGGGGTCGGTTGGATTGAGGGACGAAGTTTCCGAATGGTCCCCTTCATTGGCAGTACTGGCGGAATACGCGCGGGGTGATGGGGTATAAATTGAGTGTACTCATGGTCGGTTTGGACACCTCGCGAGCGGCTGAGTAATCGCAAGGAGCGCTTGCGAGGAATCCCGCAGAAAATGGAGTCCATATCTTCGGCTTGCGACCCAGAAAATCCTTCATCTGTGAGGGACGCTTGGGAGTTGTCAGGGTGATCCGTGGGGTTGGCTCGTGTGTTGCAGAACCCAGCGGATCCGTCAGGAGACGCAGATCGGTGCGGTGTTAGCCTCGGTGAAACCGGTTGCGCACCGTCATCGCGCCCCTAAATCGGCAGCACAATTAGCTCCGTAATATTGGCAATGCTAACAAATTACTGACACATGGTGACCGACTTGAACGTCGAATGCCACGATGTATATGATGTGGCAAGGCAAGATTGCGAGTTCTTGGTGGACTGTTCCCCATGAACCCAAGATGGTACGGAGGGGGTGAAGAGGCAAGGGATGTCGAGCCCCAAGGCTCGCCCGCACGTCGGCTCGACGCTCGAGGTCCGAGCACAGGCGTGAGTCGATGACTGAATTGGCCAAGAGGCGAACTAGGGGAGGGAGAATGAGCTCTGAGCAGAGATTCCACTGAGATGAAGATGAGCCCAATAAATCGTCAGGTGCAACATCCACGTACCTCCACAGCCGGAGGAAGCGGTAGCTCTATATTCCTGCACTTCTTCTGTCAAAGCACGTTGTTCAGTACGCGCTTCTGCGAGAAGGTTTTGCAGCTCGATGTTGTCATGGCTGAGTGACTCGTTGGCTGACACAAGTGATTCAAGAATCTTCGTGAGTTCAACTCTGTCTGATGTATGAGCTTTCTCAAGCTTTAAATCTGGTCAGTGGCATGAAGAGTGCAGCACTTCTGCCCACTTACTGATCGATACATTGCTTCCAATTTTGCGCGTGCCTCGTGTATGAGTTGCTCAGAGATGTCCCGCGGAGGGGACCGTTGCTCACTGAGCTGGTCAAGCAACTTATACACTTCCGTCTGAAGCGAAGCTAACCCAGTCGCATACGTAATTAGGATGCGTGACCTCAACAATGAAAGGGACAATAGCACACCGCACTTGTCTGATAGTGAAGAGACTTTCGCCTCTGACGATTTTGCTCGCCCAATTTCAGCATCCCGCTCTTGCAAAATTTCGTCACGCTGTTCCTCGAGTGCCATCACCTTTTCCTCCCACCCTGCAGATCTAGTTACATGCGCAGACAGGCGCGTGATAACGGCTCGCGCGTCCTGAACCTCCCTTAACAGAGTGCGGTTGGAAGATTCAGCAACTTCGAGGTTGAGAGTTGCTTGTGCGTATCGTGCGTCCGAGGATTCCTTGGCCTTGAGTGTGTTGGCGAGGCGAGAAAGGAGTCGTTCATTAGATCGTTCCAGGTTGTTGCTGCGTTCGTCAGTGTTGTATTGAATCGAGCTATGATCTGCAGCCTATTGTGCAAGGAGGTCAATACGGATTTAAAATAGCGTGTAGGAGTAATGTGTGCGTACATAGGCTTCATGCTTCTCGAGGAGTGCCTGTCCGATCTCTGCAATTGTTCAGCAAAGGAGTCGGTCGTGATGTCACATCGGGAATATTAGCTTACCAGCACACAATACGAGCTTCTCCTCTAATTGGCTGCGATCTTTACGCCATGCTCTGACGGTATCGCAGTTCCTTCCATTCGAACTCTCGGCGTGATTGCATCGACACTCTGGGTCCGTGCGCAGAAGGTCGTCTTCGACGGATGAGTTCGTCGAGGTGAAATGAGCTAGCGCTTCAGTGAGCTCATCAATTGTTGCTGTGGCCCTTTGAAGCTTGGCATTGTTATACAAATCATGAGGAGATATCGCTGCAATGGAGGAACCGCTTGTGGATAGTGAGCGGACGTGACTCATGTGAAATCGCTACCCTGAAACCAAACCACCTGGTTCGTACGACGTACGACTCTACGAGCGGACCTTCTGATGAGCGTCGCGACGAGAAATGCAGACAATGAGAGGTGGCACGCGGGTGGCAAATTAAGGTGACCAGATCACGAGCACCGTGGGAAACAACTGGACGCCAAGTTCATCAATTATGTAATATCAATACAGGGGTAGAATTTTTGATAGATATTTGGGATACGTATGCGTTCAAACGAAGGACCTGCGGCACTGACAGCGTCTCATGTTCCATTGAAGATGCAGTAAGGAGACGCTGAGGTGGGCGAAAGGCTTGGGCTATACCTCGGGGAAATTGAAATCGGAGAAGTCCGCGAAGACTACCTCGCCCCCAGCACCTCCCACACACACAGTGCTCCCATTTTGAACGACTGGGGTTCTACTCCTGAAATGATCTGGGAGCCAACAAAAATGAATCTTTACGTCCCAACCTTTACACACAGACTATTACCCTCCAATATGACCCAGGGAGGCCGAGGGGAAGGGGAGGTGATAAGCATTGGCGGAGTTTGCTTAACATTCGACATCGGTTTCGAAACGTTCAAGTGGAAATTGCTTATAACACGCTTTTGCGCGAGCAGATCCCAAATGCACTGTGCTGAGTGGTGATGGGAGGCGGTAGACAGTAAGTATCGGCTATCAGGAGAGAATGTAACCGATTTCATGCATTCAGTAAGAGCGCTGAGAATGAACAAAACCGTCCCTGTATTCGTGTCCCAAACCCGCACAGATTTATCATCCGAAGCAGAGGCAAGGTAATTCCCGTCCGGCGAAAACGTCACACAATTCACACATGCCTCGTGGTCCTCGAGGGGAGGCGAGACTGTTCCAGAAACAACGTCCCAGATCCGCACTGAGTTGTCCTCTGATGCGGATGCCAGATATTGCTATTAGGGGAGAATGCGACCGAGGTGACCATCTTGGTATGGCCGTCAAGATGATGTACAGTCTTCCCTGTGGCGACATCCCATATCCGCAATGATTTGTCGGCTGAGGCAGAAGCTAGGTAATGGCCATTGGGTGCAAAGGCGACAGATTTCACGGAGTCTGTGTGGCCACTGAGAACAAGTGGGCTCGAAGGTAGTTCACCAGCCTGAGCCACATTCCAAACTCGCACCGACATGTCATTCGACGCAGAGGCTAAATAACAGCCATTGGGAGAGAATGCTACGCATGTCACCGCTTTCCTATGGCCATTGAAAATCGTGGGAGTCATCTCCTTGGCAGTGTCCCAGACTCGCACCGACTTGTCATAGGAAGCAGAGGCTATGTAATGGTCGATGGGTGAAAATGCGATAGATTTCACGTAGGCTCTGTGGCCATCGTGAGAAAGGAAGACATCCCTCCTATTACGTGCCATATCCATACTGATGGAAATGACGACGCAGCGGCCATGTAGCGGCCATCAGACGAAAAAGCGACGGATGTAACCCACTGGGTGTGTTGGATTAGAACAAGGGAGGCTATTTCCCCGAGCGAACCCCAGATGCGTACTGACATGTCTCGCGAAACCGAAGCCAGGTAAAGGTCATCGGGGGAGAATGCGATACATTCTACTCTGGAAATATGTCCAGTGAGTATGTGGAGTATCGTCGCTGTTGCCACCTCCCATATCCGTATTGACTTGTCGACTGACCCAGAGGCGATAAACTGGCCATCGTTAGAGAATGCAATACACAGCACCTTATCTGAATGACCATTGAGGACTACAGAGGCCATCGTAGACAATTCCCATATCCGCACGGAACCATCGAAAGAAGCGGAACCAAGATATTGACCGCTGGGCGAAAATGCAACGGACTCCACGCAATCGGTATGATCGTTGAGAGTGAAAAGAGATACCCGGAAGATACATCCCATATCCGTATTGATTTGTCCCGTGAGGCGGATGCTAGCCACCGGCCATCGGGTGAGAATGCAACAGATGTCACTGTATCGGTATGACCGTTGAGGGTGAGGGCAGCTATTCCCGTTACCATATTCCAAATCCGAACTGACTTGTCGATCGATGCGGAGGCAATATAGCTGCCGTCGAAAGAAAACACAACAGACGTCACTAGCGAGGTATGACCATCGAGAAGACGGGAAGTCATCCCAGTCGCCATATCCCATATCCGCACCAATTTGTTATCGGAGGTGGCTAAATAGCGGTTATCGGGTGAGAATGCGATGGAGATCCTCCATGATATAGGTTGCTCCAGCGTTGTGATAAGGGGGGCCATTCCGCGTCGGGTCGGGTGAAGCCCGGGGCAATCAATGCAAGGAGGCCCTTAGAAAACATTTGAGGGAAATACGATCGCAAGGCACTGCGCCAAGGTACGAAGGGGTGCAAACCGCCGAGGATTGAGAGAGAACATGCTCTAATTGCAGCTCGAGATTGGAGGATCATCCGATGAAGTTCGCATAGGAGCGTTCCAAAAGTACGGTCCCCTTTTAATCGAAGGTAAACACACCGAGCTGCAGATGCGAAGTTGTGAACCCACTGTATAATTTTTCATCTCATATAATCCTACGAGGGCTTCTTCGAGCTTTCCCATGATAGACATAGCACAAATCCAGTGGAGCAATAAAGGAACAACCATCTTGAAGGCGTCCAAGGCGTTTATATCTCCAGCAGAACACCTGAAGATAATCCTATACCATTCACAACATTCGGTTTGAACCGGAACGGGGATCGCTTTTCGGAACTCTGCGTCGAGCCCCGCGATGTCGCGATTCCTTTGATATCTCCACAAGTAAGGCAGATCATCCAGCCTCTGGAGAAGCGAAAGCATATGCAGCATAACGATGACACGTGGTAGCGAATTGATCAAGGACACTGAAGTCAAAGAACCAGGCTCAAGTCTGCATATTTTAGATGATTGTGCCTAAATTCGAAAGCAGGAAATACTAACTCGAGCCATTGGATAAGTTTGGCGACGCTGGGTCGTAGCTCACGACGGGATTCAAAGCATGCAGCGATACAGTTCGCAAAGAATTCGGTGTTGTTTGATACATCATAGGGAGGGCCTTGGCAGATGGCAGAGGAAAGCTGGAGTTGATGCGATACCCAGGCATACGGGACTTGACTGGTAAGGATCTGAGTCGCATGTCACGTCAGCCTATATTAGTGCTGCTCAATTCCTTTCGGCCCGGCGTGAATCTCACCTGTGCGGCTGTACAGCCAAACGCCCAGACATCGCTATTTTCGTCCCTCCCAGTCACGGTTCCGTCCATTAACTCAGGAGACGTATAACGGATGGTTCCCATCGTGCTGGGTGCTTTCGCACGTGTGGTGAAATCGTCGACGACGGACGAGAGTCTAAAGTCGCATAGTTTGGGCTTGGGGCCTGTTTGTGTGCTGCTCGATACCACTACGTTTTCCTGTCAGGATTACCCAGCAATTTCGTATCGATCAGACATTGTGGCTCCGAAAGTACAGGACGAGAGAACGAACTGGCTTGATGTCACCGTGAACCACACCACACGAGTGAAGATGTGCCAATCCTCGACACACACCCCTGACCTAAATGACAAACCGATCAATAATTTCGCTCGACACCTCAAGTTGCACGTTTAACTCAACAATACCAAGACGGTCTGCATCAGGGTTTTGGCGCAGGAACTCGGTGACGTTGCCGCCATCAGCCCACTGTGAGACCAAGCTCACACGCAGGCTGCCATCCACAGGCTGTAACGTCCAGCCCAGAAATGCAATCACATTGTCATCGCCCATCTTGTGCCACACCTTTATTTCTCGCTTGAGTCGCTTTGGGTATCACTGAATTTCAGACCCGGGCAATGCGATCGTGAAGGAAAGGCGATACGGACTCGAAAAAACTTCTTCAGCCGATCTGCGTCGGCGACAGATACCTCTCTGAGAACTTTGACGCACACGTTCTAGGGAATAGAGTATGAGGTCGTCTCGAAGTTCATTTTGGATAGAATCGAACTTACCGAGCCTTCATATTCACCCTTATACACATCGCCAAATCTACCCCATCCCGTTCTGCGACTGAGATCTATAGTGATCTGGCCAGTAAGGTTGCATGGATCAGCCTCTGCCAGCTCATCTAGGGGGAGTGATGTGTAGATATCACCACTCTGGGGATATTTGGCGCCGACATTGTGGATGAGATAAAGTGTTGGTGTGCTAGTCCAATAAGCGCCCATACCAACTACCGTGTGATCTCGTCCCTCTAGTGGCCGGCGACCTGCCTAGTCACCTACCGTTATAGGGGTGTATTCAATCGTCCGATTCTCGAAACAATTTCAGCTGCCAGCAGATATTGTCCGCTTGGATATTTTCAGCTCTGGTTAGCCAGGAAGACAATGAGTTCATTCACGTTTATTTGGGAGCAGAATGGCTCCACACCAGAACGCAGAACAGCCCATCGAGGCACTCAGTGCTTCCACAGAAACCCTGTGGGATGACATTTGATATCACTTCATGGCGTTCTCCCGATGCAACCGACCGTTTCCCTGCGAAGCGATGCCCTCTTTCACTCTAATGCAGAAACACCGCTTAGCGCGCATCCTTTGTGTGAGCGAGCACAAAGAGCCGCATGCAATCTATCTCATTCTGTATAACTGTTTCTTCCTCATGCGTGGGTCGACAGATTAGAAGAACTTTCCAAAAGTTCTGCTGTTGTGCTTGAACGAAAGTGAAATAGGAGAGGTTTCCCCCGTTTTGTGATGGTAACTAATTTCTTTATTTAATAAGCAGAAATTCCCGGAAGCAGGGTCATTATGAGAATTATGAAATTTGCTGAAGGAAATTGCTTGGCTACTTGAATCAAGGATTCCTATGGCCTGGTGCTCAGACTCTACTTATGATCATCTCACTTCCACCCAGCCCACCTCAGACACTGTACTTTTGCAATTGTTCCTAATGGATATAAGATCCGATACAACACTGAAACAACACATCGCAAATTCGTTAGAGCAGTTCAAATAAAAAGAGTACAACAAAGAGAATAGCATCCTTCATCCAAGAAATGAGTCTCGCCCCGTGAGCAAGTGTCAAGATCCTCCACCGCACTAAAGGAGAGAAACATTAACATCCCGCCTCAAATGCAAGAGTAAGTTGAACCACTTACCCCGCCACCTCCGCATCCACCACCTCCACAGCCACCTCCACAGCCGCCTCCACAGCCGCCTCCATTTCCACACGCTGCGCTGGAGGTGCCGCATCCTCCAGCCGTACAAGAGCCCCCCTAAAACACTTATTAGTATCAGATGATGGGTTCAAACAGGCTACCAGTATATACCACAGTTCCAACGGCGCAGCCAGCAAAAATATATGCACCTCCCAAATACGGAGCACTTGCATCGGTCCGAAAGCATGAGCAGGATGACAGCAAAGCATTAAGACACAGCAACAGACACTTACAGTCCCCAATAGGGAACAGCACCGTAGATGAACGCCCTGTCATGTCCTTCCCTCTGCATCCTCTCGAGCCTCAATTTCTCCCAATCGGTTAATCTCCCTTTCTCCTTGTCCTTCTCGAGCTCCTTGATTCGTTTCCCGAGTTTCCTGGCCCTTTCCGCACGGTGCGCATCGTGATTCGGAATGACAACGGAATTATGCTCCGAAGGATGAGTAGCATCCGCGTCGTCGTCGAGCGTCGACACAAGATCAGGTCGGGTATTTTGAATAGGTTTGTCCTGAGATTTCTTTCCTCCGAGTATGCGAGACACTTTGTTCATCAACCGATTGGTAGAAGTGAGAGGAGTACAGCCACAAACAGAGTACGGGACGCCGAATCGTGCTCCCCATGCGCGTGCCGTAATGTCATATGCACTACTGAGTGCGCCTTCCTCTACCTTATCATCATGATCGGGCGTTCGACCAAGCAACGCCAAGGTATCAGAACGATATTTTCTACAATCGAGTTGATGAGTGTGCCAAGTAAGGTCAATGTCCTGAAGAGGCTTTTCAGTTACAATCTACACCACGAACAAAACAAATGGACGCACTATTGTAGGGACGAAGAACATGAGAGCGCTCGACAGGAGATCAACAAATGCGTGGTAACGCGCAATGCTTCGCACGAGGACATGAACGGCTCGGTGCTGGTGTCCAACATCGAAATGTCCAGGTCTTGTCCATTCAAGGCCCACCATTTTCTTGACAAACGCGCCCTGGCGAATGACCTAAAATGATCATTGGGACAACAATAAATGCGGTGAGAGTGGGGGCATACGGCGCCGGAAAGTTCGATCGAGAAAGGTGTCGGGTTCTCATAGCAAGAAAGAACCCTCATCATCCTACAAGGTGACCCGACATGTCTCAGCGTACATTCGCTGGTGGAACCTGTCAGCCATATTACCTTTGAGCCGATCTGCCTTGGAACGACGCTTTAACGTTAATCACGACTTCAGACATCTTGAAGCCTAAAGCTTTCGCTAATTCGTTAGCTGGTACTTTGAACTCTTCGATGAGGGTAAAAACCTGGAAGCCGGTTCGTCATGAGTAATAGAATGGGAATTACATCGTTGTACTGGAACGAACTAGAATCAGCCTAGAATTGAACCGTTTGGAGTCCGCGGCGGATATAGCCCCCGTGATAGGGCTGAGGAGTGTTCCCCTGAAGAATAGAACGTCATTTAGTCTCGTGGAAGGACAAACAAATAGAATAGTGTACGCAAGAAACTGGTGGTCCGGGTCGTCCCTCACTTTTACGACGTCATTGCAGAACTTGCGCACACACATAGACTAAAGAAAGGGAAATTCAGGGAAAATATGCAGCCAAGAACCAGCGCACCTCTCGATTGAATGCAATACGGCAATGAGGGCACAAGGTACGGAAATCAGCTTGGGCGTAACCAGATTTATCTTTGGTGACCCAAGGTACACTCATAAGATTGGCTGTTGGGCACGCAGGGCACGGGATAGCGACGACTTCATCAATGCCAGTAGTATGTACTAGGTCAAATGGCATGTTGGTCAGCTGGGTCCAAGATTCTGAACGCGCTGAAGAGGGAAGAACAGGAAGAGGAAGCAATGTCTCAGCATCGATTGCATTCGCTGCCTGAGCTAGGGGGAATTTTGGAGTGTGACGTATCGCAGGGATCGACCGTACGCCATCCTCATAATAATTTCGAGGATTCTATAAAGAGTGAGTACCATTTGAATAGAACTAACCGTAGTTCGGCCGTCCTCACCAAACAGTACGAGTGCCAAACCATGAGCACGTCAAGAGGGGGCAGAGTCTCAGGTCCAGATCTATCACTCGGGTTCGCCAAAATCCACTTCTCGAAGCGGTATACTGCCCTAGCTAGGTAAACGATCCAAGCATCGTCTGAATCGCTGGGATTCGCGCTCCTAACCAAGTTCTGGAGCAAGTCGAAGGCACCAAGGAGACGGAGATGGTCCTGAAGATCGGCTACGTTGACAAGAGGCGACGTGTATTGCTTTCCAATGGGGAACTTGTCAGGGAGTGACGTTGGGTATGGTGGAGGAGGGGCTTCTTCGATCATCGAGCCACTGAAAGGCGCATAAACTGGTTCATGCGTGTAAGGAGGCGCAGGAATACCCTCTGGTGCCGGATACGAAGTTGCCATGTTGCAAAATGTAGTGGCAGCACAGCACAATCTTAGCGCTTGCGGCAAAGTCCCAGATACGAGCCCCTAATTGAGGAATTCCAATGATGGCTGTGTAAGCGAGCGCTTACGTAACAGAGTCGCCTATAGCTAGTAGAATAGCGATCTTGTATTTACACCCCTTATCCGTGTAAATCGAGCTTTCTTGGTCCAGTTTGAGGGATCTTGAATCGGCAAAGGCCGATAGACGAACTCAGATGATCGTGAAAGAGATCACTGGACCACGGATAAGGGAGGCCAGGATCGCCACTCTTGAGTTTATAACTGGGGAACGCCGCCTGAAGCGGCAGATCCCGCATGCATCTTCACTCTCAACCTTGCTATTGGCTGAGATGAAGGCCGAGATTTGCTCTCGCTCTGTAAACCCACCGCGTACTCTGATTTCAGAACCATGTAATTTACACTGCAGCGTGCAGCGAGCGGAATAGGGGCAGAGAATGGACCCTGTGCATAGGACAATTGAGTTGGGGGGAAAACGTAGGGAGTGGCGGGAATATATATAGGCGACTCTGTTACGTAAGCACTTGCTTACCTCTAGGTTTTTGGCTCCATCTAGTCACTGACCTAGGCAGGATCCCAGCCTTAAATCACTGACCGCGACAGCAACCACCAACAATATCTCTGGCCTTGGATGACTTGCTCTGTGTCCTCAACACCTTCACAGTGTCACTAAAGGTGTCACGTAACATGGAGCAGCATGCAAAGAACATGATCATCATCACTAGTTTCCCTCCGCGCGACGGGTGATCGCATGCTACACTCTCGGGGATGTAGTTCATATCGATATGCATAGTTTACACTGGAAATTCGATACATTCACGGATACACATCTAATGGTCCTGCCCCAACGCCGTGACGATAATTGTTTCGCGGAACCGAGCCTGTGAACGGATGAAGTCTGCTGCGCACCCAAAGAATAAACCAAATAAATTAGAGGAAGTATTGAGGTGGCGGTCGCTTCGCAGGAATCGATTTAGTATCCTAACGATATTCCATTAGCCTCTGCTAATGAGAATGCATGTTTAACTACGTACCGTTGGGGCATGCTGAAAGACTTTATATTCCTGCTGCAACCGTTCATCAAGCTCCAGTATCGATGCGACGTTCCCACATCTAGCATGTTTTTGAGGCCTGCTGGGTGACACATTGAAACACATCCCTCACCTATAACAATAGTTTGGCGCACTCCATACGGTAACGATCATCCGGTCGAACATTAATTTATACCCCTCCATAGCGAGTTGGTGGGCTCGCGCGATGAGATCGATGTTGTTGGTGTGAGCAAAAGTCCTTACTATGTCGCCGCCAAACAGATAGCCAGCACCGCGCGGTGACAACCCCCATCCGTTAATGTCTGGGATAGAAATGCAGTGGAATGAGCTGTAGGGTAGTCAGGTTAAAGACTCACCATCGGGATCTGACCACAGTAAGTCGCACATGGCTCCATCGTGAGGAACCTCCTGTTTACGGTCAATAGCACGTATCTGACAAACCGGAATGAATACGCGCCACGAAGAGAGAAGTTCCTGGTAGTATACCTGGTCTATTGTTTCCACATTTGGGCTTAGCCCTCCGTGAACGCACAGTACTCTTCCATCCACAACTGCGGCCAGCGCCAGATAATCAAAAACTTCGCAGCAGTACCGCCACACGTTCGCTGAGCCATACTTCCGTTGGCACTCATCATAAAACCCGTACACCTGAGTAATTTGTCGGGACTCATGGTTTCCTCTAATCAGGGTTATGCGGTCCGGATAACGGACTTTGAATGCCAAAAGAAGGAGGAATGTCTCGACGCTGTAAAATCCTCGATCTACGAAGTCTCCTACATAGTGAAGTGCACGGAGAGTCAGAACGGGTGGAGCATATGAATGGATGCAGCGAACCCATGAAGAGATAATTGGTCTCTGGGCAAAATCGCCCAACTTTGAACAGCTCCAGCAAGTCGAAAAACTGTCCGTGGATGTCACCGCATATCTCGAAACAAACACTATAAATGCTCAGGCTCTCGCACCAGGTCCCTCCCAGAGAGGCTTACCGTGACAGGCGAATCTACATATTGTACGTTCCCTTCCTCCACCAGTATTTCTCGCGCTTTTATGCACAACTCTTTAACCTGACTTTCGGATATGGGTTCGCAGCGTTTTAGTTGCTCGATCTGCCTATCACACAACATGTATTCTATTATATGATGACAAAAGAGGCAATAACCCCTTACTTGTCGAGGTCGCTGGGCATGACGAGCGAGTTCGTGTTCGGTGCAAATGGGCGCGGTGCGGCTCCGGTGTAAACAAATAACGTGAGTAGACAACAAGAATCACCAAAAGTCCAACTTTCCCACACTCAATCGAGGTTGTGCAGTAATTATACCAAACAAAGTACGCATACATAGGAAAAACTACAGGAAATCTTCAGCTCTCGCACGTTTCGTTCCTCGAATCCCCCCATCTAACGGCGCTTCTTCTGGCAGCCTTGTCTGCTCGAACCCGTACTTTGGGTTCTGTGAGCGGCGTTCCATCTGACACGTATTTCAGCATCTCAGAAACAGAAGGGTAGAAAAGCCTGAAGACTTACGGGTGAATAGTTAGCATCATCCCAAACGAGAGACGAGCCTTCTTTCATTGGGGGATATGAGATCTCAATCTGTGGCTGAGTCAATTTCACAACAGCCTTCGGGGATGACTGTTCGAGGAGAACTGGAGGAACATTCGCAGTAGCAGTTACAGACGCGGCCGGGGTAAAGGCTGGAAGAGGGGGAGCCAGGACTGGAGCCGGAGGCTGGCCAGGGGCGGGAGCAGGTGACGATGAATTTTGGAGAGCAAGACTTGGTGGTGGTGCTGAAACGCCAGGAACGAAGAGCGGAGCCGCGCCCGGTCCAGGCGGATTACTGGGAGCAAAGGGAGGCGGGAGGAGACCCGGGGGAAGAGGGCCACCCGGAGGGAAAGGCGGGAAGCCCGGCGGTAGCGGCATTCCTGATACAAAACCTGGGGGCGGAGGCACGCTAAGGGAGATTTAAATTATCGTTTGAGTAAACAAGTAATGGTGCAACACTTACCCAGGAGGAAATGGTGGGAATCCTGGAGGGGGTCCGGCACTGGACGATAGTTTCTGTCAATATATGAACTGTATGGAAGCGCATTCCACATACCCGGGTGCGAGGGCATTCGGCGGTGGCACGAATAGGGGTGGCACCCCAGGGAAGGGAGGCGCCCCTGGGGCTGGGGCTGAAGCAGATGCCGGGGCCGGAGCAGGTGCACCAGGAGCTGGAACGGCGGCCGTCGGAAGTGCAGTGTAAGTTTGGGGCGCAGCATACACAATCGGAGTGCCAGAGCTTGTAGGACCGCTCGCCGAAGGAGCCGCATCTACTGATCCTCGCATGAGTGCCTTATGTGCCTCCAATTGCGCAGCGAGTTCTTCGTCAGGAATCGACCTTCTGTCGAGTTTTGGGCGCTTGGGATGAGGTGCAGAAGATCCAATTGCAACACCGGCCTCTATCTCCTTCTTTCTTCTCCAGGCTTCGACGTCAGATCTAGGTATGTGGTTGTCAGCGGTTATGATCACTCAACGCTGTCCAATGGTTCTTACTTTGGAACACCTTCCATACCGAATATCTCAACCTCTCCCCCATCTCGACCGGGAAGAGCATTTTCAATCCTAAGACGCATTCATCAGTGCGCAAAAACATCCCCCTGTGAAGTAACGCCTGGAAACAAACTTTTCCGGATCAAGCTTATGAACCTGTTGGACGTGAACCGCAAGTCCACCAGCGGTGTTGAGCTTTCGAGGGCAGTGCCTGCACTTGTAATGCTTCGCCTTCTGATGCTGCATTAATACTGGGGCGACCGTGGTATGTAAGGAAATTTTCACAGCGAAAGAGACGTTCCTTGCCTTTCTCATCTTCGAACTCTCGTTCGCAATACCAGCACCATGGTCGTATCACCTAGTACAGTGGGCTATGATAAGTCCACGGCACCCATCAAAAGAATGAGATATTCCCGCTTACAAGCTTATTTTTGCGCTTCTTTGTCATCTCGCTCACCCAGTTTCACAAGTTGCAGAGGGTTTCCAATTCAGTTGGGGTTGCGGCTATCTCCTCCTTCACATGATCTGTCAGACTGAATCATCAACATAAACACATGCAAACAGAGATCAATAGCACCCCAGCACGACTTGCTGTTGCGAAGTCCTGCCTAGCTTGTTTCTAAGTCAATTGGTCATCTATGATGGGTCCTTCACTATTATTCGCATTTTTTCATTTCTTTTTATGCTAGGAAGGATCCCAGCCTCTACTAAAGTGGAACTTTATGCATCTCTGCCACTTAATCGCACATCCTCTACACAGTTTCTTTGGAATGTGTTTTCGTCTGGTGTGGGCTGTGCCGCGCCGCGGATGCAGCGCGAGTCAAAGGACTCTTGAGGAGTAGATTGCGACGCGTCTGTCCCAGAGATGCTTCCACCATTGAGTGTTCGCACTTTCTATGTTCTAGAGGGATCGAATGGTTTTGCCCTTCTGCCCCGTAGTCTTAGGCGGCGAGCTATAGATGAAGGGACAATCCATTATTGGTGGCCTGTGCGTTTACTGTTTAGCGGAAATTCCTGTCCTCATACCATGGATAAACTATCGACCCATGGCCATTGGTAGTTTCTGCAACTCAGGGACCACCTACCGCTTGCCTCGTTGCCTCGTTCTTTGGCAGTCCACCCGAAAGTATGCTGTTCCGAATTTTGAGCAACGTCCGCCACACAGTGTCAAGTCAATATCGGTCCAACATACAATCAGACAATCAAACAACAATCAGTGAGTGCTCAGATGGCCTGTGCCTGCTGATGGCGTAGGGGTGTATAGTTCATGAGTGTGACGAGTTGTTCCTGCTGTTTTCCCGAAGGCTGCTCAGCTCTTCCCATTTCTCATAAGCTGTCACAGTGGCTGAATATGAGCAAGAGTGAAGGAAAAGGAATCATAATCGAAGAGAAATACTGATGGTTGCTGTGGTGGTTCCATCAGCTCTAGTAGCTCGAGCTCAAACAGAAGTAGCGCTCATATCGGATAAGGTTCAGTGCACTGCAGCTACAGTTCTTCAGACAGATAAGTTAGGAACCACTGTGCTGATTCTAGTACATCTGCAAGGTAGTGGCTTGCTAGATGATGCGTAGCTTGACCGCTGCCTTTGTTGAACCAGCAGATAGACATGAAGCTGGGTATAATTGTTAGCTAGTCATGGTTCACACAACATCATGCATTTGAAGTCTCTTTGTTAGATGGTCTGCCTGAGCTCTCGCCGCATCCAACATTGAGGTTCTAGAACAAAGCGCGTTAAGACGCAACTACAACTCGATGAAGCAAGAACTCACTCTTGAGCAAGACGACGCTGGATACTCCTCAACTGAGCACTCCCCAAACCTGCAGGAACGCCGTTTGACTTCTGCGCCGCCAGTCGTTTCCTTCGCTCCTCTTTCCGGTTCAACTCTTCCACCTGTGGCTTGAGGATAGAAATCTGATGTGATAACTTCAAGCGAGAAAATATTGAGAAAGTGAAGGCCACGCGAAGCTTCAAAAATTACGTGCCAGTGTCGCTCTGCTCTTCATCGACCGTCCTTCAACATCATCATCGACCCCCTTCCCGCCGTTGATTTCTCGGTCCATTCTTCCTAACTCAGCAAACCATTTTGTTTCGAATTCGCTCAGCTTAGGAGAATATGAATCCATAAGGCGTTGTAATACCCTATCCAGTCGAATCAACAGACTTCTCTGCGTTGCAACAACTTTCTCCACACGATCTTCGCTGGTACTCGAAGCATCGAAAGGCGATGAGAGCCCAGCCGCGGGTTTCAAGGTGTCAATAAATCCAACCAACTCGACGAGCTTGCTGAGCTGTCGTTCCATTTCCTTTTTTTGGAGAGCGATACGATCCTGTAGTGCGCCCACAGCGGAAGTCACATCCCGCATATCGGAACGGAAACCCTCCACATGTTTTCCTAGCATGCGAAGGGTTTCTGGTGTAATGATTTGAGTCGGAGACGTAGGCCCGCGTGGCGGAGTGATGGATACCATAGCCCGTTGAGATCGGAACGTGGGTACAACGAAGGGTTGTTTTGTTAATAGTGAGATGTAAGCTGACACGACAGATTGTGGTGAAAACAAGGGAATTTTGGGGTCGGATTTCGATGGGGTAACTGGAGAGAGCAACACGTCCTGAGATTCTTCCTCCAGTGGCCTTAGTGTCAACGTTATGGGCACAGCTTGGTATTGAGCAGTGAGCGCTATAAGTGAATAATTTACAGCACTGTTGTCCAAAACGCCTACAGATACTATGGGCGTAGTACTCCTAAATGGCAGGTACGTAAATGGCGCATCAGGATTTCAAGATGATCCATGCTAACCTTTGCTCAATAGAGAAAGAACTCAATAAATGTGACACTTCGCTCTCTGGCGCATTAGTTACCGCCGCTATCAATCTATCATCACGTCCATCTTGATGTTCCAGCTCGTCGTCCGCCTTGATAGCTTTAGAGATGGAGCTCATCCAACCACTGGTGTCAATAAGATGCACACCAAAGGAATGAGAAACAAATAAACGTCCTTTCCCAGGATACAGCGGATCGGCGTAGAGCAATGGGTGGTTCGAACGGATCAGCGAGATAGTCTGGGGTGGCGTTTTTGACAACTTTAACGCTGAAGTAGGTGCCACGGGGTCATCAACTTCTAACGTCTTTAGAATACCAAGGTCAACAGATTCGAACACAGTCAAGGTGGGTAAATCTTGGGGGCCAGGTGATTGCCTTTTCGATGAAGCCTGTAAACATGAGAACTCAGAAGTGCTCACGCATCAGCGACGCCGCGCGTACCGAGACAAATTCCCACTTTGCTTCTACCTTCTCGGCATCAAGACATAAGTCCACCCTCCCATCCCTCCATGTGATTGCAATGACCCCTAAAGGTTCTGACGACTCAGTATCTTCCTTCTCCTCGGGACTCAAATCTGCTGTTAAGCCATCAACGGACGACTGGCCAGGGCCAATGTAAGCAATGTCGGTCGCTTCATTTTCAAACTCATCATCGTACTTGAGCGAACCCTCCAGTTCTGGAGGGGAAGGCTGCAAAAGGAACGGGCCTTGTCGAGCAGGTGGACGACGCTGAGCAGCAGGTAATCGTATTGTTACACGCGCTGGAGCCTTCGGTGGTCCAGGGGACTCGGAGCGGTCCATCACATCAAAGCTCAATGATCGATGATTTCGGGACCGTGTCATCGCCAATTGTTTGTTCAGTGCATTGACAAACTTAGTTTGATGATCGTTGATAATAGCCAGCGATTCGGCGGTGGAGGCGGCAGGATCGAGCGATGAAGTGGATGCGGACATGAAGGCCGAAGTGTTTGCTTCGATTAGCTCACGTTTCGCCGCAACAAAACATTCGAGAGCTGGGATGTACGACGATGGAACTGAGCTACATCGAGTGGCACCCTCAGTAGAAAGGTTGAGGCAGGGAAAGGGCTAACGCACGCAGTGGCAGGCAAGAACGGTGACATGGCCCAAACATCACCATTTCTCATGAGAGAAAATACGGTCAAAGGACTCCAATCCGCCATCCCTTTCCCGATGCAGAACGATACTGCCTCAAGAGAGGCGGGATCCTCAACAGAAAACTTTCCCCCAACACGGTCTGGAACGAAAGATAAGGTTTGCTGAGGCTCTTCTGCATCACGCGAAACGTCGTATTCACTGGAGACTAAGTGTTTCAATTTTCGTGAGAAAGGATGTGCAGTAGAACTTGTGCTGACCGCAAAACCCCATCAGCCGTCAGGACGAGCAGGGAAGATCCCCCATCGTGCCATGGGTGCCAATCCACTTTGGCGATTTGAGATGAGCCTGAGATAGCATGATGGAACTGTCCAATTTGAATTGACCTTTCAAAATGCGCACTAAGTGTTGAGGGGATATGGAAAAAATTTCCACCTACTTGGCATCCACTCGACTATTAACGAGTTTGTAATATGATGGCCTCGGAAGTACAACGACTGCGATTTGGTGGGCACCAGCGACCGCAATCATTTTGCCACCAGGGCAAAGAGCAATTTGTTGAATATCAAACTGAATGTTTGGAGTATGGAGTGTCTAGTTCCACAGGAACAATGTCAGGCCTGCTATTCTCTCGTCCAACAGATCCGGGGCGGAGTCATATGCACCTTGTACGGCCGTTCTGCTGTGGAACTGCTAGAACTTCCTCTGTAATCTATCAGTGGCGCGATACGCAGCTCCTTTCCAACGGCTAGAATAATGTCAGAGCCTCGGAAGCACATTCTGCTGGTTCGACGCGGAAGTGACGCCTGGTTTGTCGGGGGAATGTCCTCTACCGCCAAACGACCGTCATTTCGAGTTTCCTCACTAATCTTAAAGATTGGATGCAAAGGGAACCGGGAAGCCCATCCTGATTGGATATCGTGGCCTTGCATATCACCCTCCTAGTCCTAGCAATTTGAAGGGAGAGTTGAAGGTGGCAGCAGGACAGAATATTAACTTTCCCGTCACATGTGATGAGAGTGTCAACGGGTAAGCCCGATTGAATCAAACTCACGCGGGTGCGTTACGCGTTCTTGGGCTTATTCGACCATGAACAGTGGCTACGATCTTTCTGCAAGCACATATTCCCCAGACGGGAGGATATTCCAAGTATGTTCTTGTGAGGTCAACACCAAAGACTTCTACTGACTTACCCGTAAGGTAGAATATGCAAACAAGGCAGTAGAGAACTCGGGGTACGTGACCAGAGATACACTATGAATAATGCCCAACCCTTCACGCGAATTCCAGGACAGCAATTGGTCTTAGAGTGAATGATGGCATTGTACTCGCTTTGGAGAAACTCGTACACTCGAAACTGCTGGTCCCAGGCTCAAATAGACGCATCCAATCAGTCGATCGACACATTGGCATGGTCAGTCTTCCTATTATTCAAACTTCATATGGTTTGTCTTACTCCCTTTTCAAGGCCACAGCTGGATTATTAGCGGATGGTCGTCATCTTGCTTCACGCGCATTTGATGAGGCATTGAACTATCGAGAAACCTATCGTGCACCCACTACTCTCAAAGCCCTCGCCGAGCGACTAGGACTGTATGTCCAAGCTTATACTCTGTACTCTTCCGTTAGACCGTTCGGCGTAAGCGCTGTGCTTGGTGCAATCGACAAGGAGGGTCCGCAATTGTATGTCGTTGAACCCAGCGGGATATATCATGTAAGTATTTGGCGGGAGAACTGTCGTATACCCTTTGCGATAATTTATGCATCAAATAGGGGTATCATGGGGCGGCCGTGGGGAAGGGGCGGCAATTGGCCAAGACAGAGCTCGAAAAGTTAAAATTATCAGAAATGACAATTCGGGAAGCCGTTATCGAAGCCGCACGAATGTAAGGGCCTTTTCCTTGTACAAGCACTCGGGGAAACTGAAAAGCCTCATCCGCTGATTCTGCCTAGTATTCATCTCTGTCACGATGATAATAAAGACAAGGAATTCGAGCTGGAATTATCCTGGATCGGCCCTGAAACAAATGGGCTGCACCTCCCTGTACCAAAAGACCTGTATGAAGAGGCGGATAAGAGAGGGCGGGATGCCTTGGATGCTGACATGGAGGATTGACACTGGAATCCATTGATTCCAACTGCCGAGTAGGCGTGCCATGACTGTTTCATAATGATCATTCCATTTTTCTTCAGAGCTTGTTGTTCAGTGTGAACACTGAGAACTATCGATATTGGCGATGGCAGGCCATTTCGTTTCATCTATCCCAGATCCCGGTTCCGCACTTGCGGAGCCCTGCACGTGCTCTTCTCCATGCTAATTATGTTTACTCAGTTGGAGTGCTGGTTAAATCATTTTGGAGATCCATAATTTTTTAACAAGACGATAGCTGGATAGATTGCAAAGAAAGCGGAGATGGGGCCGGCGTTCCATCGTAGTTTGTTGCTGTCGATGACCTCTACCTATCTCTGCAGACCTATTCTACCTACTTCCCTCAAGTCTCTCATTAACTCACGGTGGTTAACGATGCAGGCTACAAAGGATGATCCTAGCGAAGGTTCGGCCAAGCCAGATGCCTATCTAGAGCAAGTTTCGGAGGGCATTTCGGCTATAACGTTAGATCGACCGAAACAGAAGAACGCAATTTCTGTAAAACTCTTGAGCGAGTTGAAGGCTTCGATCGAGCAAGCGAGTGAAGCTAGAGGGTCAGTAAGCTTATCCGTTCGCGAGTTCCTGTTCCAAATTAATCCAATGCTACACCTGTTGCTCGATCATTACGCCCGTTCACACACATCCCTCCCACAAGTCTGCGCGTCCTCATTATTCGCTCATCTGAGCGTGGGTCCTTCTGCGCTGGGGCGGATCTCATTGAGCGACGCACAATGTCTCCGGCCGCTGTTACCCTCTTCCTCCAAACTCTCCGTTCCACTCTCACCCTCCTACAGGACTTCCGGATGCCAACAATTGCAGCTATCGATGGACCCTGTCTTGGTGGTGGGCTGGAGCTTGCACTTGCATGTGATTTTCGTGTGGCGGGGAGCGGGGCGAAGAAAGTTGGATTGACGGAAACGAAGCTTGGAATTATACCTGGTGCCGGAGGTACGCAGAGAGCCACTCGACTCCTGGGAATCACGAAAGCGAAAGAGTTGATATTCACGGGGAGAATGATGGACGCGAATGCTGCGCTTGCGTTCGGTATGTATTTCTGGTGCATCTATCCAAGATTCAAGTGGTGGCTGGACCATGTGTCTTTGCAGGGCTGGTCGACTATGTGGCTGATCCGTCAAGTACGGCCTTCGATCGAGCGATGGAACTAGCTCAAGAAATCTCAACATCCGGTATGTCCTATCTCTTCGCCATCTTCCTATCTCCCAGCACCCTTTTAAATTACCTCAAACCTCAAACCTCGCACCCAGCACCCCTTGCCCTCCGTGCAGCAAAAATGGCGATCTCTCGTGCGGACCAAGTTGATTTGGAAACCGGACTGGACTTTGAGCAAGCATGTTATGCACCATTGTTACGAAGCAAAGATCGAGATGAGGCGCTCGAGGCATTCAAAGAGAAGAGGAAGCCAGTGTTTAAAGGGGAGTAAATACACGGCTTTGGCGAATGGTCACATTGTTAATGTCCGAGTCCTCCCCTCAATACCCAAGGCTGAAGGTGTGCAGGATCCCAGCACGCAGCATGCAGTTCGTTTTGTCGTTTCTGCTGCCTGACACACATTTCTATATCTTTTATTAGAGGGGAATATGCCGCGCCGTGTAGTATGTTCTGGTACTGAAGTCCTGTCCACAAAGACCGCGGAATTTCCATCCCACCAAAACGCTTAGAGCTTTTTGATCGATGTTCCGTTCGTTTCACAAACAGGATGCTAGAAGCTAGTAAATGACATCAATATTAAACGTACAATAAGTCCCGATCCAATGCATCGAAAAGTGAAAACAGTGGTGGAGGAACTAGAAAAATGATTGGACGTGTACTGGATGACTAAACGATTTGGCTAATATCGACGACCACTGGGGCTTTCAGCTTGCCCTGGAGCAGAAATCGAGTTCCATTCTTGCTCGCCCGAGGAAAATATATGCTGTCTGAATCTCTCCTACCATCATCCTTGAGCATCAGATCACCGTACCAGGCTTCTTTCTCGCTGAAAGAATTTCTGGACCGTACGGTCGGGGCGTAGTCGTATGGAATCCTAAGTTCGTCTTCCCCATTGAACCAAATGCATTGGAAGGTATCAGTTAATGGGATCCTTCCCATTGCGGAGGAATAGATGTCAATAACGGAGTATTTGCTACCGCCTACGCTTGGTGAGAGGTCGTAGAAAGGGTGCTTCAACCAGGATTCATCCGCATCATGCCCTAAATCTGGCCCGGTACTTGGTGGATGAGTTGCACCATCTTCTGGAACCAAAGGCAGGGCGGGGTTACAAAGTACAGGCATAGGGATGTCATGCAGGCAAGGGGGTTCAAGGCCAGTGTTGAAAATCCAAGTCCTGAAAATTTGCACGCGATATTGAGCAATCCACTTGTGTGAACCGGTTGACCAGACAAACGCATGGTTTGTGTCGTAAGCGCCGACATACCGGCTCCCTGGAGAGAATCGAATTGTGTAGCGTTGAGGGATAGATAGATCGGAGTGAGATTGGGGAGACTGAGCAGGGGAGGGGTGGAAGGAGATGCAAGGAGTTGAACGGAAGGCTCGCCTGAAAAACGTAAGAGTGCCATGTTCTCGTACCAAACCAGGCCGAGATTTTGTGGGACTCGTATGATGAAAGATCCATCGTTCGACACCGCAGTTACAGCAGGGAAACAACCACTGGGGAGGGTGCCGAGCTTCGTCATACTTGTTCCAGGACCGAGAGTAGTGATGTTTCCATCAGTATCCTCAGTGGCAATCTGAACGTTGCCACCACAGATAAACTCGATCCAAACCGGAGGTTTGGGAGGATTGCATTGGAATCGAGAAATTACACACTGATCGTCGATGTCGGCAACCTCAATGACCCCATTTCCAAAGCCAAGGGCAACATAAGAACCATTTTGGGAGATTGCTGCACAGGTCACGATTCCGTTGCGAACAACATGTTCAGCGAACTCGGCTTCGTAATTAGTTTCTTCCCGGCCACGTTCATGGAACTTCTTTGGCAGCCCAGTTAGTGTTGCCTCCATGACCTCTTGAGCCACACGTGCATCCTCGCTCAAAGGAATAAAGCCACCAGAAAACTCGCCAGATACACTGAAGACTCGAACGGGATCTGAGAGATGACCATAGAATTCATAGAGGCGTGATGACGACGGAGTGAATGGAAGGCCTGATCGATAAACATGCCGAGGATCAGGGTAGAGACTCAACCCCCTTGCAAGAATGAACGCCTCCTCTACCAGCGCTATTGATTTGTGGTTCTGTAACACAAAGAATGATGTCATATCACCGAAACACAGGAAATACAAGCGATTTAGAACTCACATGTACACTCGACTTCCATTCTACCAATAAACGGTTGGTCTGAGATGTTGGCCATGCCAATGAGCCATTATTCCCTGACAAGAACGAGAGTAAGTTTGTTGTAAGAAGTTGTTCAAACTCGCTTTGCAATTCATTAAAGTCTTGTGAAAAGAGCAGCGAAGGGTCCAAGTGAAAGAATAAGTGCCTAAGCACATTTCCGACAACTCTAGGTATCTGTTTGCTCTGAAAGAGCTGCCACTTCTTTTTATCTCCCAAAGGAAGCTCAGTGGGGATGCCAAACTCATTCTTCTGAATGACATCATTTACAAATTGAAGAAGTCGCAACCCAATGCTATACCCCTTTACATCACGAATAAAGAAGACTTTATCCTGTTCCTCACCGATGGGATCTCCTGTAATGAACTCCTTTGCCGTCGCATGGTAGAACTTGACAATCTGCTCGTTGTCTGAGGAAAGATCCACAATCGAGCTGATAGGTTTTAGTACTGAGCGCACTTCATCCTCAGCAATTCCTAGCAGTTGCGATATGTCGTCAATGTCAAAGTCACTCCAGGTTGCGGCAACAAGTATCTCGACTACTTCGCGATAGTTCTTGGCCACATGTGGACGAATACTGGAGGAGTTCGGCATGTAGGCTCGTCGCATGATTCGCAAGTACTCCGACTTCAGATCCATAGGTGCTTCATTAAGATTACGGAAATATTCGAACTCCGATTTAAGAGTGGAACCATAGTACCGAATCTGGAACTGCGCATCACGTATTCGGATTGAAGCCATAATGGGCAATCCACGACAACCTCTCGCAAAGATATCAAGATCTTCATCGGATGGTTTCCACAGGGAGTCCTCGATAAAACCGTGAAATCCTTCGTCCACCATGCGACGGATGGTGTGGAAAGTGTCCCGTTCAATCCGATCCACATCTTCGCAGGGGATCATAAGACCCTGATCTTGCACTCTAGTCCAAGCCGAGAGGACTGTAGACTCCGGCCGGCAGCTAACGAGTACAGCAAAGGGCAAGGGCAGCTCGCAAAGTAGAAGCACGAGCTCCATCAGGGAGTCGAGATCCGCTGGACCCCCGCACTCATCCAAGCCATCCAAGATGATAGCATAGCGTCGGCTGCCCCCAGACAACACTCTCTTAAGACTATTCATCGGTTCAATGATCAGGGTCCGCATCTGCTTCTCCAGAGAGAGCTTCAGAAACAGTCTCATTTCTGGCCGCCGGAGGCATTTGACGAGTGACACTTTGAAGTCCGCACTGAAGAGCGCAAGTTGGCGTGCAAGGGTAGAAGGGAACAACTCCAAAGAATCTAACCCTGTTCCCTTTCGGTTTTTGTCCCAAAAGAACGAGGCCGCAAGAGTGCCTTCCCCCTCAAGCGTGGATGCAATGCTCATACTTATCGCCGTCTTCCCGGTACCGGGTGATCCACGTAGCCAGACAAATCGGTTCTTGGCATCTTTCAGATGTCCGAGAATCGATTCCTGTATGTTGTCCCGTGTGCTTGGAAGGCATTCTGACTTGCTTTTCACGTAAGTGTGCTCGGCCGCGACTTCCCCAAGCCGTTTGAGTTCAGCTAAAAGGAAGGGTTGATGAAAAAAAGACCCTGAGAATGAGCTTGGAAACGCACATTGCACGGATGCTTCGATTGTACGAAGCAGCGTTAAAGTAGTTGCCTGAGTCTGTTGGCACGCAATCAGTCAGTGTGTAGGGCACTTGGACGCCTCCATAATGGAAACGAACCGAGAAGTTGTTAATGGCATCATTTATACATGCCTTCACATCGCTTATCCTCGGGGCGATTTCGGTTGCTAAGATCGTCCTCTTCACGGGACCTCGATTGTTGAGTGTGCTGACCTCTTTTATTTGTTCTTCTAGGGCCCTGTCAGCAGGATTATCGAATCAAATGCGTGGCAAGGGAGGCACATGGACGTACGAGTGAAACCCCTTGATGAAAAAAATCACTTCATCGGGTATACGGTCAGTCGACAGCGCGAGTGGCTGCAAAATGGTGTCATAGGCTTTTCGGATGTCACTGTCTAAGCCTTTGAGACTTTTGTCATTTCCACCGACGATCTGTGCAAATCATGTCCCACAAACATTGAGAGAGTGAACAAAGTATCCTCATCGATCCCAGAAACGGAAAGATGAACTCACCTCGTAGAGGTCGAGCCACTTTAAAAGCAAGTCTGGGATTGCGTCAAGATTCGGAATCGGGGCAAACTTAAGGGCGGAGGTCGCATTTTGGAGAATGAGTCTAATAGCGCCGATGATTACATCCTGCCGATCACTGCCTGAGCTGGCCGATCGTGCGATCGCGTGTTCCGATAAGGGAGGCACGTTAATGCCCTCGCGTTCCAATTGTGCATGAACGCTCAGGCCATTGTCATGTGTGGCATACGAGCCAGATGTTTCATGAAGATTATCGATCTTTTCCCCACGGGCGGGGGGAAATGAAGGAAGTACTGCATCATTGGCGGACAGCTGGAAGGGCGTGTCTGGCCTGGATTGTTCAACGAGATTGGAGGTACCAGGCCTGCTGCGGTTAGGACTCAATTTCCTACGGGCCCTCCCGAATACACGACGCATAAGAGATTCCGATTTCTTCGAATTTCTGTTCATAGAAGGCATGGCCTGGCTGGTCACTATGAGCCCAGGATAAAACTCTGTCGGCAACCCATGTCGATCGCTGTGGGTGTTGTCGTGATCTCGGGGTACCTGGAGATTGATCGGGGGAACACGAGGTGACTCGGAGGAGGTCGAGGGGAGCGGCGGTTGTGAGGATGAGCCGGGAGCGGAACGACTTCCTTTGGAGAAGGATTTGAACGGGTTTTTTCTAGACATCGCACTCGGGTAGTAAGGAGGGGCTAGTCGCCACGCACATGATGCGTATAGGACATTATTTGAAGGGGCAGTACCTACATAGTTAAGTGCATAGCACTGTAAGATTGGAAATTGCAATGTTGGAAATTCTTACCTGTCCGGATAAGCGCAGAAATTCAGAGGTGGCTTGAAATTGAAGGCTCAACCCGCACATAGCAAGCTTGGCATAATTACGAAGCCATAGAGGCTGGAGTCCTGCCTAGGAAGAGACGGCAATGAAGCAAGCAGTAAATATAACACAGAGGCCGTGCAGCAGGGTCTCGTGCGTCGGCATGAATGTGTTTCGGTTAAACCCGCTATGGTTCAAATGGGACACGCCATTGAAGCTCAGAGTCAACGCAACCATTCTATGCCCCAGTGCGTCTTGGGAGAATACCACTGTGTTGTCGGTATGCAAGGCTGGTTTTGCGAGCGAGGAGAAAGCCCCTCCCAGTAACGAGCTAGATGACCGTGTGTCTCATCCCATTGCGTCATTCATCCCTCACCGGCCCCTGGGATTCATATTTGGCCCAAACACGGGCTCCTAGTGACGATATGATCACCCTTCAACATCCTCAGATTTTCTTTGCTCAGCTTCAGATCGAAGCATTAGCCAATCGCAGGAGTCCCTCAACCCCGTCATGGTTCGTCCTAATATTTATCACTATTCATACATTCTGGAACCATGAACTGATTGAGCACGGTTATCGCGCTTACTGGAAATCTCATCGTCGATCCATAGCATTTTTGACCACCCCAAGTAATGGTCACTCTGCATGCTCCTGCTGAATCGGTTTTCAGCTTTGACACTGCTCTTCAATGGAGTGGGTGCACAGCTGCCAATGGTTTACCCGAAGCGTCCACTTATTCAACAACCCTTCGTGGGTTAACACCTGGATCATTTGCTCATCGGTAAGGATTCAGCGAATGAGCTGTTGGGAGTCGATAATTCGTCCTAGGGCGTACTCTTCGCCCTCATTGAAGTCACACGTTTGCTCTAGGAATGCTGTCTCAAGTGCAGTAATTTCTCTTCAGGTATCCTGGGCGCTGTTCGTTGAGTGGGCATTCACAGTCTTGTCGTGAACTTCGGATGAGGGGGTTTGATTGGAGTTTTATTCGGCGACATGTTCACTCCACGCAATTTATAGCGATGGGACAAAATATCCCACCAGAGTCGGGGCAGCCCTGGTTGTGAGACTATATTAGATTTGCGTTTCGGACCTTCCGATAGGCTGCAAGCGTCGGTGATGCAATATCAATGGCTTCGCGTGTTAAATTTTCTCAGGCTTGTGATGGAAAGGTATATCTTTTTTTTTTTTCCCATATTTCTGTGAGCAAGAGCGTGCCCGGGCCCTCAATCAGGCATTTTCACACCAGTGGCGACGACTCACGTCTGGACTGGCCTCATAAGGTGCGGACGCTTTCATCTGGCTTGGAGCCAGGCCAGAAGCAAATTTGGGATCGCATGAAGATTCGGAATCGGGACGGACTTAAGTGCGGAAGCTGCATTTTGGAGGATTTGTCTCGTAGCGCCGATGATTACTTCTTTCGATCACTGCCTGAGCTGGCTGATGGCGTTATCGTGGGTGGCATATGAGCTGGATGTCCTACAAGGATTGTCAATACTTCTCTCAGGGGCGAGGGAAAATAAGGGAGGCGCCACATCACTGGAAGACCATATCAAGATGCTGGGCAGAGCTTCGGACATTGCAATTCCAAAGTAAATTGGACGAGGACTTGTCCACTCACTGGTGCAGTGCAGTAAACCCTCCGCATCCAGCTTCTTTCTACAGAAGCATTTCATATGCGTCATGCGCAGGTGATCGAACTGTCTTCCGTTCACTCTTCCACCGGGCATCCTTCCCCATTATTACATACGCTAGTGCGATGTCTGGAAAAAAGAAATCTGAATCTTTTATGGCTTGTGTGTTTGGGAGAGCACGTAGGAAACTGAAGCCTGATACTCGATCCCCGCTCTGCAGGCTCCCACTACGCGCACTCCTTTTGGGCAGCGTTAGAATTCTCTCTGGATTCCATGTCAGTCGCTGCTCAAGTGGCCTCCTTGAATTAAAAGAAGAACCGTTATCGTACGGAGATGCATGGTGTGAACCGACAAATTTCTAGATATACTTTTTTTTTTCACGTTTCCATAATCATGGGTTGCTTCGGCATCGAAGCGGAATAATTATGTCTGAATACTCACATCATGAAGTCGAGGCTCCGGTTTGACTCGGATGGAACGCTGCCACGAATTTCGGAGGTCCCATTTTCGTGGTCTCTCTCAGCTCCTCTGCTATCGCTCACTTCCTTCAGAACTCTCTTGACTATAAACACAACCAGAAAACCGTAATGGATAACAGTCTTTGGAACGGTAACAACATTACGCCCGGCTACACAATATCTGGTAAGCAAGTGAAATCTACAATGTCAACGCGTCATCTTGATTAAATATTCCTCAGCGTCTCACTCTTCATTTTACGGTCCCGACGACGCCATAGATGTTGGCCATCCGGAGGAAGCTAACATCCACCAAGCTATCAGAGGTGCCTAAGTTCTTAAGCCTAGGGATGCCGCGGTTCGGTTCGGAGGGCGCAACCGAAGGTCCCAAATCGCAAACGCGATAACAGGTTCGCTCACACTCTGGTGCAGTTTGAGGATGATTGCATTCGAATCTTGGTTCTGACCAATTCGGTTCGGCTCCGAACCGAACCACGGCATCCCTACCTGAGCCCTCTCCGACTCAACGTTTTATCATGGTCTCATTGCATCAAATGGTCTTAGATACACCCTCAAGGATTGTTAAGGCCGAATTCACCGAAATAGAGACGCTTCGAACGCTCCAATCTCTTGCGCCACAATCCAGCAGTACGCGTCAAAATCGCGAAATAGACGAGTAGAATTGGTGCCAATCTATGGTCCCCTGTTTGTTTTTTTTTCAGGAAAGAATGGAGCCCCGATGCGATCCGGCGCTCTCCTTCGCGAAAAATAAACCTCAGCGAATCCACACTCACCAAAGGTGAATCAACGCTACCCAGCTTTTCGGCCCATTGACGCAGTTATCCTCCGTGTATCTTCCTGTATTCACACCAAACGATTTTGCCTCAGTTTCAGCGAAAAAGTCCGAAGAAGATGCCCGCGGTGAATCTACTTCTCACCTCCGAATTCAGGGTATGTGATTAGAGATACACTATGAATAATACCCAACCCTTCACGCGAATTCCAGGACAGCAATTGGTCTTAGAGTGAACGGTGGCATTGTACTCTTTTTGGAGAAACTCGTACACTCGAAACTGCTGGTCCCAGGCTCAAATAGACGCATCCAATCAGTCGATCGACACATTGGCATGGTTAGTCTTCCTATTATTCAAACTTCATATGGTTCGTCTTACTCCCTTTTCAAGGCCACAGCTGGATTATTAGCGGATGGTCGTCATCTCGCTTCACGCGCATTTGATGAGGCATTGAACTATCGAGAAACCTATCGTGCACCCACTACTCTCAAAGCCCTCACAAGGAATTCGAGCTGGAATTATCCTGGATCGGCCCTGAAACAAATGGGTTGCGCCTCCCTGTACCAAAAGACCTGTATGAAGAGGCGGATAAGAGAGGGCGGGATGCCTTGGATGCTGACATGGAGGATTGACACTGGAATCCATTGATGCCGACTGCCGGCCTCTACATATCTCTGCAGACCTATTCTACCTACTTCCCTCAAGTCTCTCATTAACTCACGGTGGTTAACGATGCAGGCTACAAAGGACGATCCTAGCGAAGGTTCGGCGAAGCCAGATGCCTATCTGGAGCAAGTTTCGGATGGCATTTCGGCTATAACGTTAGATCGACCGAAACGGAAGAACGCAATTTCTGTAAAACTCTTGAGCGAGTTGAGGGCTTCGATCGAGCAAGCGAGTGAAGCTAGAGGGTCAGTAAGCTCATCCATTCGCAAGTTCTTGTTCCAAGTTAATCCAATGCTACACACGCTGCTCGATCATTACGCCCGTTCACACACATCCCTCCCACAAGTCTGCGCGTCCTCATTATTCGCTCATCTGAGCGTGGGTCCTTCTGCGCTGGGGCGGATCTCATTGAGCGACGCACAATGTCTCCGGCCGCTGTTACCCTCTTCCTCCAAACTCTCCGTTCCACTCTCACCCTCCTGCAGGACTTCCGGATGCCAACAATTGCAGCTATCGATGGACCCTGTCTTGGTGGTGGACTGGAGCTTGCATTTGCATGTGATTTTCGTGTGGCGGGGAGCGAGGCGAAGAAGGTTGGATTGACGGAAACGAAGCTTGGAATCATACCTGGTGCCGGAGGTACGCAGAGAGCCACTCGACTCCTGGGAATCACGAAAGCGAAAGAGTTGATATTCACGGGGAGAATGATGGACGCGAATGCTGCGCTTGCGTTCGGTATGTATTATCGGTGCATCTATCCAAGATTCAAGTGGTGGCTGGATCATGTGTCTCTGCAGGGCTGGTCGACTATGTGGCTGATCCGTCAAGTACGGCCTTCGATCGAGCGATGGAACTAGCTCAAGAAATCTCAACATCCGGTATGTCCTATCTCTTCACCATCTTCCTATCTCCCAACACGCTTTTACATTACCTCAAACCTCAAAACCTCGCACCCAGCACCCCTTGCCCTCCGTGCAGCAAAAATGGCGATCTCTCGTGCGGACCAAGTTGATTTGGAAACCGGACTGGACTTTGAGCAAGCATGTTATGCACCATTGTTACGAAGCAAAGATCGAGATGAGGCGCTCGAGGCATTCAGAGAGAAGAGGAAGCCAGTGTTTAAAGGGGAGTAAATACACGGCTTTGGCGAATGGTCACATTGTTAATGTCCGAGTCCTCCCCTCAATATCCAAGGCTGAAAGTGTGCAGGATCCCAGCACGCAGCATGCAGTTCGTTTTGTCGTTTCTGCTGCCTGACACACATTTCTATAATTTTTTATTTGAGGGGAATATGCCGCGCCGTGTAGAATGTTCTAGTACTGAGGTAAAGATCGCGGAATTTCCATCCCACCAAAACGCTAGAGCTTTTTGATCCATGTCCTCTCAAGTTCCATTCTTTTCACAAACAGGATGCTAGAAGCTAGTAAATGACATCAATATTAAACGTACAATAAGTCCGATCCAATGCATCGAAAAGTGAAAACAGTGGTGGAGGAACTAGAAAAATGACTGGACGTGTAATGGATGCACTAAACAACTTGGCTAATATCGACGACCACTGGGGCTTTCAGCTTTCCCTGGAGCAAAAATCGAGTCCCATCCTTGCTCGCCCGAGGAAAATATATGCTGTCTGGATCTCTCCTACCACCACCCTTGAGCATCAGATCGCCGTACCAGGCTTCTTTCTCGCTGAAAGAATTTCCGGACCGTACGGTCGGGGCGTAGTCGTATGGAATCTTGAGTTCGTCTTCCCCATTGAACCAAATGCGTCCGTCGCCATCAACTAGTGGGATCCTTCCCATTGCGGAGGAATAGACTTTAATGCGGTCTTGGCTAGTTTGTATGCTGGGTGAGAGGTCGTAAAAGGGGCGCTTCAACCAGGATTCATCCATATCATGCCCTAACTCTCGCTTGGTACTTGATGCACGAGTTGCACCACTATCTGGAATCAAAAGAAGAGTAGGGTTGCACGATACAGGCACAGGGATGTTATACAGGCAAGGGGGTTCAAGACCAGTGTTGAAAATCCAAGTGTTGAAATCTTGCACGCGATATTGAGCCATCCACTTGTGTGAACCTGTTGACCAGACGAACGCACAGTTTCTGTCGTAAGCGCCAACATATCGGCTCCCTGGAGAGAATCGAACTGTGTAGCATTGAGGGATGGATAGATCGGAGTGAGATTGGGTAGACTGAGCAGGGGAGGGGGTGGAAGGAGATGCAAGGAGTTGAACGGATGGCTCGCCTGAAAAACGTAAGAGTGCCATGTTCTCGTACCAAGCCTGGCCGAGATTTTGTGGGACTCGTATGATGAAAGATCCATCGTTCGACACCGCAGTTACAGCAGGGAAACAACCACTGGGGAGGGTGCCGAGCCTCGCCACACTTGTTCCAGGACCGAGAATAGTGATGTGTCCATCAGTATCCTCAGTGGCAATCTGACTGTTTCCACCACAGATAAACTCGATCCAAACCGGAGGCTTGGGAGGATTGCATTGGAATCGAGAAATTATGTGCTGTTGGTCGATGTCGGCAACCTCAATGACCCCGTTTCCAAAGCCAAGGGCAACATGAGAACCATTTTGGGAGATTGCTGCACACGTTACGATTCCGTTGCGAACATCATGTTCGGCGAACTCGGCTTCGTAGTTGGTTTCTTCTATGCCATATTTATTGAACTTCTTTGGCAGTTCAGTCAGTTTTGCCTTCATGACCTCTTGAGCAAGACGTGCATCCTTGCTCAAAGGAATAAAGCCACCGGAAAACTTGCCGGATATACTGAAGACTCGAACAGGATCTGAGAGATGGCCATAGAGTTCATAGAGGGGTGATGACAATGAAGTGAATAGAAGGCCTGATCGATAAACATCCCAAGGATCGGCGTCGGAACCCAACCTCCATATAAAATTCTCCACCTCCTCTACCAGCACTATTGATGTGTGATTCTATAACACAAAGAATGATGTCATATAACTGAGATACACAAAACACAATTGATTTATAACCCACATGTGCACTCGACTTCCATGACATCCATAAATCAATTGTCCCTAGCATCGCCCATCTGTCCTGGAGCCATGAGAAGAATGAAAGTAAGTTTGTTGAAAAGAATTGTTCAAACTCTCTTTGCAATTCATTAAATTCCCGTGAAAAGAGCAGTGAAGGGTCCAAGTGAAAGAAGAGCCGGGCAAGCACATTTTCGACAACTCTAGGTTTCTGCTTGCTCTGAAAGAGCTCCCACTTCTTTCTGTCTCCCAAAGGAAGTTCGGTGGGAATGCCAAACTCATTCTTCTGAATGAGATCATTTACAAATCGAAGAAGTGGCAATCCAATGCTATACCCCTTTACATCACGAATAAAAAATACTTTGTCTTGTTTCTTGCCAATAGGATCTCCTGTAATGAACTCCTTTGCCGTCGCATGGTAGAACTTGACAGTCTGCTCGTTGTCTGAAGGAAGATCGACGATCGAGCTGATGGGTTTTAGAGTTGAGCGTACTTCATCCTCAGCAATTCCCAGGAGTTGTGATATGTCGTCTGTGCCAAGATCACTCCAGCTTGCAGCAACAAGTATCCCAACTACTTCGCGATAGTTCTTGACCACATGTCGACGAATACTGGAGGAATTCCGCATGTAGGCTCGTCGCATGATTCGCAAGTACTCCGACTTCAGATCCATAGGTACTTCATTAAGATTACGGAAATATTCGAACTCCGATTTAAGAGTGGAACCATAGTACCGAATCTGGAACTGCGCATCACGTATTCGGATTGAAGCCATAATGGGCAATCCACGGCAACCTCTCGCAAAGACATCAAGATCTTCGTCAGATGGTTTCCACTGGGAGTTTTTGATAAAATTGTGAAATCCTTCGTCCACCATGCGACGGATGGTGTGGAAAGTGTCCCGTTCAATCTGATCCACATCTTCACAGGGAATCATAAGCCCCTGATCTCGCGCTCTAGTCCAAGCCGAGAGGACTGTAGACTCCGGCCGGCAGCTAACGAGTACAGCAAAGGGCGAAGGCAGCTCACAAAGTAGAAGCACGAGCTCCATCAGGGAGTCGAGATCCGCTGGATCCCCGCACTCATCCAAGCCATCCAAGATGATAGCATAGCGTCGGCTGCTCCCAGACAACACTCCCTTAAGGCTATCCATCGGTCCAATGATCAAAGTCCGCATCTGCCTCTCCAGAGAGAGCTTCAGAAACAGTCTCATTTCTGGCCGCCGAAGGCTTTTGACGAGTGAGACTTTGAAGTCCGCACTGAAGAGCGCAAGTTGGCGTGCAAGGGTAGAAGGGAACAACTCCAAAGAATCTAACCCTGTTCCCTTTCGGTTTTTGTCCCAAAAGAACGAGGCCGCAAGAGTGCCTTCCCTCTCAAGCGTGGATGCAATGCTCATACTTATCGCCGTCTTCCCGGTACCGGGTGATCCACGTAGCCAGACAAATCGGTTCTTGGCATCTTTCAGATGTCCAAGAATCGATTCCCGTATGTTGTCCCGTGTGCTTGGAAGGCATTCTGATTTGCTTTTCACGTAAGTGTGCTCGGCCGCGACTTCCCCAAGCCGTTTAAGTTCAGCTAAAAGGAAGGGTTGATGAAAGACCCTAAGAATGAGCCTGGAAACGTACATCGCACCAATGCTTCGATTGTACGAAGCAGCGTTAAAGTAGTTGCCTGAGTCTGTTGGAACGCAATCAGTTAGTGTGTAGGGCACTTGGCGCCTCCATAATGGAAACGAACCGAGAAGTTGTTAATGGCATCATTTATACATGCCTTCACATCGCTTATCCTCGTAGCGATTTCCTTTGCTAAGATCGTCCTCTTCACGGGACCTTGATTGTTGAGTGTGTTGACCTCTTTTATTTGTTGTTCCAGGGCCCTGTCAGCAGGAATATTGAATCAAATGCATGGCAAAGGAGGCACATGGACGTACGAGTGAAACCCCTTGATGAAAAAAACCACTTCATCAGGTATACGGTCAGTCGACAGCGCGAGTGGCTGAAAAATAGTGTCATAGGCTTTTCGGATGTCACCATATAAGCCTTTGAGACTCTTGTCATTTCCACCGACGATCTGTCCAAATCATGTCCCACAAACGTTGGGAGAGTGAACAAAGTACCCTCATCGATCCCAGAAACGGAAAGATGAACTCACCTCGTAGACGTCGAGCCACTTCAAAAGCAAGTCTGGGATTGTGTCAAGATTCGGAATCGGGGCAAATTTAAGGGCGGAGGTCGCATTTTGGAGAATGAGTCTAATAGCGCCAATGATTACATCCTGTCGATCACTGCTTGAGCTGGCCGATGGTGTGATCGCGTGTTCCGATAAGGGGGGCACGTTAATACCCTCGCGTTCCAATTGCGCATGAACGCTCAGGCCATTGTCATGTGTAGCATATGAGCCAGATGTTTCATGAAGATTATCAATATTTCCCCCACAGGCGAGGGGAAATGAAAGAGGCACTGCATTATTAGCGGACAGCTGGAGAGGTGTGGCTGACCTGGACGGCTCAACGAGATTGGGAGTGTCAGGCCTGCTGTGGTCAGGACTCAATTTCCTGCGGGCCCTCCCGAATATACGACATATAAGAGATTCCGATTTCTTCGAATCTCTGTTCATAAAAGGCATAGCCTGGCCAGTCACTATGAGCCCAGGATAAGACTCTGTCGGCAACCCATGTCGATCGCTGTGGGTGTTGTCGTGATCTCGAGGAACCTGAAGATTGATCGAGAGAGCACGAGGTGACTCGGAGGAGGTCGAGGGGAGCGGCGGTTGTGAAGATGAGCCGGGAACGGAACGACTTCCTTTGGAGAAGGATTTGAACGGGTTTTTTCTCGACATCGCACTCGGGTAGTAAGTAAGGAGGGGGATGCCCGGGTGGAGGAGTGAATGGGGTATAGCTCAGTCGCCACGCACATGATGCGTATAGAACATTATTTGAAGGGGCAGTACCTACATAGTTAGGTACATAGCACTGTAAGATTCACTCAGATTGGAAATTGCAACGTTGGAAATTCTTACTTGCCCGGATAAGCGCAGAAATTCAGAGGCGACTTGAAATTGAAGGCAGCTGCAGCTATGTGAACCCGCACGCAGCAAGCTTGGCATTATCATTGGAAGAGACGGCAATGAAGCAAGCAGTAAATATAACATGCAGCCGAGCGAGTGGCAGCTAGGCCAGGTAGGGTCTGGAGCGTCGGCATGAATGTGTTTCGGTTAAACCCGCCATGGTTCAAATGGGACACGCCATATTGAAGCTCAGAGTCAACGCAACCATTCCATGTCCCAATGCGTCTTGGGAGAACACCACTGTGTTGTCCCTGTTACACAGTATGCAAGGCTGGTTTTGCGAGCGAGGAGAAAGCCGCGTCATTCATCCCTCACCGACCCCTGGGATTCATATTCGGCCCGAACACGGGCTCTTAGTGACGATATGATCGCCCTTCAACATCCTCAGATTTTTTTGCTCACTTTTAGATCGAAGCATTAGCCAATCGCGGGAGTCCCTCAACCCCGTCATGGTTAGCGCCAATCAAACAATGTTTCTGTCCAATCGTCCTACTATTCATACATTCTGGAACCATGAACTGATTGAGCATGGTTATCGCGCTTGCTGGCAATCTCATCGTCGATCCATAGCATTTTTGGCCACCCCAAGTAATGGTCACTCTGCATGCTCCTGCTGAATCTGATACGTTTTCAGTTTTGACACTGCTCTCCAATGGAGTGGGTGCACAGCTGCCAGTGATTTTCCCGAGGCGTCCACTTATTCAACAACCCTTCGTTCATCCTTCGGGTTAACACCTGGATCATTTGCTCATCGCGTACTCTTCGTTCTTATTGAAGCCACACGTTTGCTCTGGGAATGCTGTCTCAAGTGCAGTAATTTCTCTTCAGGTATCCTGGGCGCTGTTCGTTTAGTGGGCATTCACAGTCTTGTCGTGAATTTCGGATGAGGGGGTTTGACTGCAGTTTTACTCGGCGACATCTTCACTCAACGCAATTTATAGCGACGGGACAAAATATCCCACCAGAGTTGAGGCAGCCCTGCATGGTTGTGAGACTATTAGATTTGCGTTTCGGACCTTCCGATAGGCTGCAAACGCCGGTGATGCAATATCAAGGGCTCCGCGTGTTAAATTTTCTCAAGCTTGCGATAAGAAGGTATATCGTATTTTTTTCCCATATTTCTGTGAACAAGAGCGCACCCGGGCCTTCAACCAGGCATTTTCACACCGTCTGGACTGGCCTCATAAGGTACGGACGCTTTCATCTGGCTTGGAGCCAGGCCAGAAGCAAACCTGGGATTGCATAAAGATTCGGAATCGGGACAGATTTGTATGCGGAAGCTGCATTTTGGAGAATTAGTCTCGCAGCGCCGATGATTACTTCTTTCGATCACTGCCTGAGCTGGTTGATGGCGTTATTGTGGGTGGCATATAAGCTGGATGTTCCACAAGGATTGTCAACACTTCTCTCAGGGGCGAGGGAAAGTAAAGGAGGCGCCACACCATTAGCGGACTCAACGAGATTGGGGGTATCAGGCTTGCTGCGATCAGGCCTCAGTTTCCTACGTGCTCTCCCAAATACACAAGTCATAAAAGATTCAGATTTCTTTTTTCTAGACATCGCGCTAGCGTATGTAACGATGGGGAAGGATGCCCGTGTGGAAGAGTGAACGGAAGACAGTCCAATCACCTGCGCATGACGCATATGAAATCCAGTGAGTGGACAAGTCTCGTCCAATTTACTTTGTTTAAGAATTGCAACGTCCAATGCTCTGCGCAGTCCAGCGTCTTGATATGGTCTTCCCCGCTCTGCAGGCTCCCACTACGCGCACTCCTTTTGGGCAGCGTTAGGATTCTCTCTGGATTCCATGTCAGTCGCTGCTCAAGTGGCCTCCTTGAATTAAAAGAAGAATCGTTATCGTACGGAGAATGCATAGTGTGAACCGACAAATTTCTATATATACACTTTTCTTTTTCGAAAAAGTTCATGTCTATGGGTTGCTTCGGCATCGAAGCGGAATAATTATGTCTGAATACCCACATGCATCCAGATCATGAACGGTTTGACTCGGATGCAATGCTGCCACGAATTTCGGAGGTCCCATTTTCGTGGTCTCTCTCAGCTCCTCTGCTATCACTCACTTCCTTCAGAACTCTCTTTGATATAAACACAACCAGCAAACCGTCGACAACCTAATGGATAACACTCTTTGGAACTTCCCTGACGAAACATTGCATAGCGGTAACAGCGTTACGCCCGGCTACACAATATCTGGTAAGCGAGTGAAATCCACAATATTAACGCGTCATCTTGCCTCAACGTCTCACTCTCCATTTTACGGTCCCGACGACGCCATAGATGTTGGCCATCCGGAGGAAGCTGACATCCACCAAGCTATCAGAGGTGCCTAAGTACCTAAGCCTAGGGATGCCGCGGTTCGGTTCGGAGGGCGCAACCGAAGGTCCCAAATCGCAAACGCGATAACAGGTTCGCTCACACTCTGGTGCAGTTTGAGGATGATTGCATTCGAGTCTGGGTTATGACCAATTCGGTTCGGCTCCAAACCGAACCACGGCATCCCTACCTAAGCCCTCTCCGACTCAACGTTTTATCATGGTCTCATTGCATCAAATGCTCTTAGATACACCCTCAAGGATATTTAAAGCCGAATTCACCGAAATAGATACGCCTCGAACCCTTCAATCTCTCGCGCCACAATCCAGCAGTACGCGTCAAAATCGCGAAACAGACGAGTAGAATTGGTGCCAATCTATGTTCCCTGTTTGTTTGTTTTTTCAAGGAAAAGAATGGAGCTCCGATGCGATCCTGCGCTCTCCTTCGCGAGAAATAAACCTCAGCGAATCCACATTCACCAAAGGTGAATCAACTCTACCCAGCTTTTCGGCCTATTTATGCAGTTATCCTCCGTGTATCTTCCCGCATTCACATCAGACGATTTTATCTCAGTTTCAGCGAGAAAGTCCGAAGAAGATTCCCCCGGTGAATCTACTTCTCACCTCCGATACCCCGATAGCTAATATACCATTAGAGAATATCGCCACTATCTCGGTAGAGGAATATGAAGAAACGGGTATTGGAGCAATTGCGGCCCCTGGTAGGGCTCGACCTCCAATTGTGTTGAAGATGCCCATACCTGTGTCATTCCACAGGAAAGCATTCGGGTCGAAATAGATCTCGGTACGGAGCTCGTCGGAGATCACGTATTTCAATCTTGGAACGTATGTTTTTGATGATTCCTACGTATCTATTCTGTGAAATCCAAAACCCGCAGTGCACATCGATGTAATCTGCGTGGTAAGCGCAAATCTGATCTTCTGTCTTGGCCAGCTCCTCTCACTGACAATCATTCTAGATTCTTGACGACCCTGATATCACTTCTCACGATCTCCTCCGACTCGTGATGGTCAACAAAACCTTTCGTTTATTCCTTCTACGCCCATCGAGTTCGTTCATTTGGAAGAATGTCAGGGATCACCTTCCAATCAAGACTCCTAATCCCCATCCAAGCTTGACGGAGCACACCTGGGCGCAGTTCCTGTATCGTCCAAAGGCTTGCGAAGCGAGTTTTTCCGATAACCCACTATAGTGTCCCAGATCACGTTGTTGCTGACATTTTCGATCAGTGCTGCTCGAAAATTCTCGAGCCGTTGATGGGTGATATATGCTACGCGCAACTATTTGTCACCTGTAGAGACGTGAGTTGTCAGTTTAGCGATTGCAGACACGCTCACCATTCGGCTGAATCCCAGTGTGCGGCAATAAATAGATCCAAGCGGTAGGTGTACACCTGGAGAAACAATCGATCAATTTGTACTTGTTGATTCGTCTAGTGCCATGATGCTAGTGAAGCCACGCCGCGCAAGGAAATTGCAACGATACCTGCTTCCGCACGTGGAAATCCAATATCTTCATAGTACGACGAACAACTCTGTCCGTCTCCGAATAGACATTAGACCGACTGTGTATATTTTCCTAGGGATACTTGAGCTGGACAGGCTCACCGTTACAACTGAAACGATGTGTCACTTTTATTGCTTCCCTGCCCTAAGGAAGTTCAATGAATTGAGGATGCAATATGGCAACGGTGGTGCAGGCTTTGACGCATATGTTGCAGAAAATATTGGGAAATATACGAGGGTCCGCGAGGTATGTGACGCTGGGCTGAGCTTAAATTCAATGAATTAACGGCAGCCTTTGTGCTTTTGTGACTAAGGAAGCGGGAGGGTTTCATGAATGGATGGACACAGTTAGGTTAGCGAGGCAAGAAGCCAGCGCCGCAATGGACACCAAGTAAGCCCTCACGGTTCAATCGGTGCTTTGGGGGATTTGTCATTCTATGTCCCGTTCTGTGTAGACTTCGCATCTGGTGTAAGAAGAACAACTGGTCTGTTCGATATGCCCGGGAGTATATCTCCAAGACGCGGGAATTCAGGTATCACGTCGATGAACATTTTTGTCCCATGGATGACCAAAGTAAGCATCACCGCCCGTTCTTTCCCCAGACATCGAAGACTTCGGGGGGGCTGACAAGGACTCTTAAGCCTGGGTGGATTTTGGCAGACGTCACATGGGGAATCTCCGCGCCCACCACATCGAAAGGCTACAAAAACTTGATGAAATCAAGGTGTTCGAATGCGACTGTGATAACTCAAGAACATTCACACCTTCGGGCCTTAGGAACCACTGGTATGAAAAGTCAGTCCATTCCGTGACCTTGGACGAGTTGGTGCGCTTGTGCTGACGGGAATTGATGACATGTTCACAGACACTACCAATACCCGTGAGCTTCAAGCGCCTCTTGTCTCTCCTGCATTCGTTTTACTCTGGTGTTTTCTTCTTCGTTATGTACTGCACACTCTCGAGTAATATAGACTTCTGATGTCCAGGAATTGTTAATTGACAGGCAGACTCAAGCCGAGAACGCTGCGTTCATGAAACCGTCGATTGAGGGCGGTAGTAGCGATTCTCCAGTAAACGGGAATAAGCCGGTCACAATACGAATGTATTTTAAAAGTGAGCGCGAATCGTAGCCGCTTATCTGAGAGCAATACATGTATAGGCATTTGTCGAACGATAGCTGCATACGTATGAGAACAATCATGCGTATGGATAGCGCGAAGTTGTGGACGGCGAACCTCTGTTCGCGCCAGCCCGCAGCCTCAGACTTTCCAAATCCTTCATCATTCCGCTCAGTCTATGGCTAACACCACTTGCTGATAGTCGGTCTTTGAGCTCGTGGACGTGCAAGTTGACACCCTCCATCCCACGTGCCAAACTCATTCGATTCAGATTTGCCCATGAGGGAAGGTCCAGGGTTGCAACTCCAGTATTGGAATTAACAGGATCAGAAACTGTCTCGCCGCTTAATCCGGTGCCCAGATCCCACGCACGCTCCAGTTGCCCGCTCCAGTCGCTTCTCATTGCTAAGTAGGGCCGAATGAGTGCAGGATCGATACGGCCGAGGTAGTTCTCCCTGATGTATGTCCTGAGAATCTCCGGACGGACCAAGAAAACGTTGCCTAGTTGTCGAAGGAACTCAAAGCGTTCAGTGAGCAAAGGAAAGTTGAACGAAGCGATGGAATCCTGGTATGATTTCAAATCCCTGTTATGCAGCGCGAAGAAGTGAGTATGCTAAGAAGCAGGCGGAGGGAATCTGATACTTTGCAAGCATGAGACCTCCAGTTGCGCTGACCGGGAATTTCTTCATGTGCTCCAGCAGCAAGCTATAAGCATGAACGTCATGACGATTTACGGAGTTTAGAGTGGCGAGGGAAAGGGCTTACGTGTGAAATCCAACACCAATCTCCGTTAAAAAGCCTTTAAGGTTTTTTCCGCTCATATTTTCCCGAGCTGCATCACGCACTTTCTCGAGAGTATCGCAGCAAAGTTCGCACGGTTCAGTGTTGACACGCGCAAACGATAGGTCATCATTCTTGGGTTTAAAGTCTGTTTTCTTCTGCTTGGATAATGAATTCGAAAGATATGCCTGAATGACTGTGCAGTATTCAGTTGGAAGTGCAACTGGCAGAAGGCTGGCAGATCGTACCGTCTGTGAGCTTCCGCACCAGACTAGCAGCAGCCCCTTCCGCTCTGCTAACGGTTTGGTTGTTGTAAACCATCATTTCCCTGCCAAGAGGAAATCGGGTCACGCCAGCAAGCTCACGCAACGTCGTGCTTACCGCCTCAAGGTCACGCTAGTGGCAGTGTGAGACAGAGGCAACAAAGCAATGCCAACGTACTGCTGCCAAAGATGCACAATCATATCTGCTTGTTTGAGAGATGCCAAGGAAATAAGACGCGGTTCTGTGTTTGATGGAATTGCTGCGAGCTCGGCATTGGCACTGGGTGTGGTTCAGTCCGCGGGATACAAAGAAATATGCACAGTACCCACGCGTTGATTGCCACTTCAACGTAGCCTTTAATTAAAGCATCAGCGAGCACTTTCATAAGAGCGAAAGCATTCTTCGGACTGTGGAACGGGGTGAGCGACGACGTTGTGTACTAGAGATCCACTCACATGTCAGCGATAATGCTAAGCTCCACGCATCTTCCGACAGCCTCAGCGTGCCATTTGAGAACAGTTTCGGCAAGATCCACGCTTAATCTTCCATCTTCTTCCGTTGCTGATTTGGAAGTGGAGTCTTCATCTACTTTTCCATTGTTGGCATCGATATCGGGTTCGGTCAAAGCAATAGTAGAGCTGGGATTAGAGACTGCGCCCCTCCATTGACGCCCGATGTTGTTGAGGAAGGCGGCAGAAGCAGACGAGGCTGTTGCTGCCGTTCCGGAACCACCGAACCGATCAAGAAGCTTCATTGAACTTGACGCTACACTGGATGCGACGGTACTTGCGCCCGACCCAGTGAGCGGAAAAGATGAGCCACTGGCGCTGGCTGACTGAGAGCTCTTAACAATGGAAATGAGTCATCGCGTCGTTGAGCTTACATGCCATTTCGAAAACTTGTCCAACAAGCCTGCGCCGGACGCCGCACCAAAGTACAGCTCGTTGAGGTTCTTGCTCTCTCTTTCGATGTATTTGGTCCCTTCGATATAGGGAACGAAAAGCTCCTCCATAGCCGTATCGAGTAGACTTGGGATGGACAGAGTCCCAGCACCGCCACTAAGCAAATGAGCCGCTCCACTTGATGAGTTCGCTGACCCGGTTTGAGGGATTCCGCTTGGTGAAGTTGGTAGATCCGAATCTATGGTCATTCCTCTGCCAACATTTTGTATTAAAGTGGATGCCAAAGCAGAGAAATCGTAAGTTGACTTCAGGTCTTCGATCAATTTGGAAGTGCTCAAGTGGCAAAGGTGCAATGCGCGCAAGTAGGCTAGATTAGACAAAGATCGCGACTTATTGAGTAAGAGCTCAATATACTGCTGAATCTGATTGGTCACGGCGACATTGAGTACTTTCAGCTCACTGTCACCATTATAGTACTCACACACTGAGCAAACACCCTTTGCAAAAAAACACCCATGACCAGAACAGGATGCGGAAACACGGCCTGTACGATTTCATTCTCTTGCCCAACAGTAAATCTTATCTCATTGAAGAGATCCACAAGAACCTTAGAGGACTTGGGCATAGGGAGTGACGGGGTCGGTAGTGTAGCCCATCTGGCAACCACCCATCAGTAATCCATACGCAATTGGATTGCAAACTCACAGTTCACTGTCATCTTGCGTGTCTACCTCTTCCAGCATTTTTGATTTGCTGATAAAAAAATCGTGCTGATTAACATATATCTGAACGCAAGAAGCCCCGCCGTTAAACTCCAGCAGTGTTTGGGCACAGTGCTAGGTGATTGAAATGCACATTAAAGAGAAGCACGGAGTTTCGAAGATTGACAACGTACGCCCATCATTTTTGGGTCACCCTTACGGTAGGATTTGTCGAAGAGCTTGAGCATATCCTTTTCGAAGAGTTCGCAATACTTTTCAATGCGTTTTCGGGTCTGGGTGATTCAGGGGAAATGAGTTTTCATTGTAGATGAGAAAGAGGCCACGCCACCTGCTCTGCATTTGGTAAATCGACTTCGCGAGCTAGAATACTCAGCCGTCTGAGTATAACGGCAACTTTCTGGCGGCCAGCTTTGCCTCCGTCTCGGCGCATTACATCCAACTTCAGTCGGCTCGAGGTTGTGTAATCGTTCTCTTCCCCCGGCAGTGACGAGAATTGATGGTAGTACGAGATGAGATCGTGCGTAGCATGTGCCCGCTCACGTGAAGCGTGAAGGGTTTCTAGAGTCTCCCCAGTCCGGACGGCTGACTTCCCGACAAGTGATATCTTGGAGTGCATGCTATTGAACGATTTGTTTACAGCCTGGAGCAGTCGTGAAATGCTTGTCAGTTTTATTGGAGGCGTGCCCTAGGATTATCAAGATATTCACCTCAAAACCTGAGTTGAGTTCACTAATTTTGCGCGAAAAACCCCTTTCGGCATCACGCACGCTGACCTCTAAAGCATCTTTCTTCTTCTGGACGTCTTCCCGGATAGCTAGGAGATTGTCCACAGCAGACTCGAAGGTACGAATGAATGGCGCTGGGTCAAACGCTGGCGAGAGCAGAATGAGAATTTCTATGTGCAAGAATATGCCCGAGTTTCTTACACCCCGTGTCCTCTTTTGACTGCTGTATAAGCTTGTCAGATATTGACGTAATGAATTCCTGCAGATCGAAGCCTTCCTGCGCAACACGGTGAGTGACACTGCGGCAAGACAGTTCCAAACATCGTGCCTTAAATGCACTTAAAGTCAAAAGTCCCTGCACGGAGGGGTCGAGGGCAAATATCCCAGCGCTGGGATGTGCCATTGGTGATCGGAGCCGGTTGTCAGGCGTGTGGCTGTGCGGGAATTTTTCTTAGCGTCAATTGTGTCGGCCAATTGTGGCTCTTCAATCCATGGCTCAGCTCGATGTCATCCTTCAGCACCAGCTTTCGACGGATGAGAGGGCGGTCGCTAACGTTCTCATCGTTGTTTCGCAATTGACGCCGTCTCATCTGAGCTCGCCTCGACTTCTAGTTGCACGTATTCATTCACTTCTCCAAAAGCCAGTTTATCCTGGCGCAAGATGGGCAGGCTTCTGCCTTGCGTATAGAGTCGCGTCTTTAAGCTCCGAGGTACTCACAGAAAATGCCAAATCATGGATTTCATCTGCATTGCCTGCGTTGTCGGTAGGCACATGTCGCAGTCCTTGCATATCTGCCTAACTTGGCCTTTTCGAAAACTAGAGAGATGAACCACCGCCAGTGCACATCGAGGCGATGCGGCTACTGCACCTGATTTTTACGTCGGCCCTCGACATGCCCGAGTTTCACCGTCAGGTGGTCACCCCCAACCTCCAGAAATTCAGCATCGCATTGTTACAACTTGCAGAGAACTTGAACACACCTAATAGAGTTATGGTGCGCGGTTATCCTCGGTTCTGCGCTCTGTGTTGACAAGATTTAGGTCTTCGCGTTCCGAATTTTGACGCATATGGTCTCATCGTTCCCCGCGGCGCATGTGTCACTGACCCCTCGACTTACTAAACTTGCCCTGTTTCGGCTAAGTCGGATTGACGGTCAGCTGCACAACAGCGAATCGCTGTTGGCTTCTTCGTCCGCCATCCTTCTTTCCGCACTGCATATCCCTGGTGGCAAAGCTCGTTCCGTCCTGTTGTGGCGAAAAACTCTTGAGGATACATTAAATAGTATCATTGTGTGCGTCGAAACATTGAGGACAGCTTTCAAAGTTGAGGCAAAAATAGAAGGTAAGGGACTCAATCGTCTTGGATGTGGACGCTTATCTTGTGATCGCATAGCAACGTTACCTTCATCCCCAGGACTCGAGCTCCCTACTATCCCGGAAGATGCGTCCCCAGCCCTGGTGATCCCTCTGGTCATTGATAGACTTCGTTCCCTTGTTTCATTGTTGGTCAAACTTCTAAGGTCCTTCTCCCTCTGCTATTTTCGGGATGCATGCTCAAACTTCAATCACATTGCAGTGCAACATCGTCTCGCCCATTAGTTTTACCCCTTGGCCCGATTGCTTCGGTAGTGGACAGGTTGTTAAGTGTTACCACTATGGACCCTCATTCAGTAGGTTCCACCACTCATCTTTAGATATCTTTGACGATATAATTTTATTGGCCCATAACGAAGGATCCACATGTTTTTGTTGACCCGTTACGCCGCTCGATGGAGGTGTCTGCTATTCCTTCGCTCCTGGAAATTGGCTGTGATCTATATATTGCTCTAATCAACAGGTAACAGAACCTCTTCTCGCTATAGAAATTCGACTATAATACTGCCTTATTCAGCACCTCACATCATGTAACCCCGTACATCCCAAAAATTTCCTCCCTGATAGCCTGGCATCTTGAGCAGGATTATCCACCGTGCGTTCATATTAGGGTTGCTTACCATTCTCTGCTAGACTGATCAAATACATTAAGGACCACCCGGCTTGCACTTCTTCGAGCGGTTTCCATCTCTCTATCTGTTCCGTCCCACATGCACCCGATAGCACACACTCCGTATCTGCCTGGTCGCTTCATCCGCGCTTTACTCGTCCCTATGCTGAAGATCCTTCCCAGTCGCTCAGGGGCTGATGTCTCCCCGCCAAAACCGACTGATGACTATATTCAAGCTAATGGTTCTAAAGGAAACAAGAAAGATAAAGGCGGAACGTTCGAAGGTGATGAACTTCTGAGACCAGGGGCTGTGGGCTCCAAGTGCCTGAATCCTGATGTTCAGGTGTGGCAGGAAGTCCTAGTGTCCCTCGATGGTGGGCCATTAATTAATCCTCATTTTTCGTTAGCTTAATTTTTTGATACAGCGCTCAAACCCCTTCTTCTGATCCCATCTTCAACGTCCTCAGCCATTAAAACTACTTCTGGCCAATCCCCGCCCTCATTCGCACCCCTCCAGTCCATTACACTTCGAATATTAACCTCCCTTCTATTAAGTTTGCCCCACGACTCGCATGCCCTCCCCCACCGCCAACAGCTCCATACTATTCTCGATAAGATAACACAGACTTGCGAGGACGTCATTCTTCGAGATGGGGGTACTGGAGGGGACGAATGGCTGAGGAAGAACCTCAGCATCTTGATCAGGTCTGCTGCTAACGCCGCTGCTCACGACCATCGGCAGGTATTTCCTGTCTTTTTTGTTGAAGTCGTGCCATTACTAACTCCGGTTTTTTCAGTCTTCTCTTGTGTCACTAAATCTCCTTCTACACCCTCGTGTCCCCCCTCACTTGGGCCTTCCACCTACGTGGTCTTCCTCCTTATCTTCCGCGAGGACTATTAAGGACATTTTGCTCTTCAGAGAAAGCAAGGAAGAACGGGAAGTGAGATTAGGTTTGGGCATATCCTTGGCTGCCGATGAGAAGATGGAAGACACAATGGAAGGGGCCGCTACCACCGACCAAATTATTCCTGTTTCCCTCGTTCCAAAACCTCTGTGGCATTCGTTTGAGGATACTACGTATAACGTATTGCACCGATCGATCATTTCGCCCACAATTGAGGAAGATTCCGTACTGAATGCCCCAAACATTCCTCGCCCTTGGTCCCCTTCAGTGCCTCAGCCGTTGGTCACTACTGCGGCTCCCGTCTCCATAACGGCACCCACAACCTCCAACCACAATGGCCAAATCCCATTGCTCCCAGAGACAGGCACGATTGAAACAGCACCCAATATCCCCACCTCACCACGCTCGGCTCAGAATGTCTTTCCCGAGGTGTGGACACCCCCGCGACCAGTTCATTTGGACGATTCATCCATGGTTGAAGACGGTCAAACCATCAAAGAGCAAAGGTATAATATGCTTCCTACACCAGATGGTGAAGACGACGACGAAGTCGGCTCACTGCCGGAAATCATCATGGGTTCTGATGAAGAGTAATAATGCTCTAGTCTATACTCGATACGCAAACATCTATTTGATACGATTTATGCTGTTGCGGGACTACATACATAATTCTATGAAGCTGAGCCTAAGTTACGAATCGATCAGCGCGGGAACCTGCTAGATCGAGTGCGTGAATTCAGCATCGAGCAATCCAGAACGAGGTCACCATCGTAGCTGTCCCAATTTATTCATGGAGCAGAATTTTGTCGAAAAACTTCAAGGGAGCTTACAATTGGACGCCATCACAGCATACAGCTACCTCACTGCAAAAAGTGTTCCTTGGTTCATTCGATATAGGAAGACACTGCAATCCGATGAGACCTGCGCTTGAGAGACCAAGATACCTCTGGAGTATGTCAATCATAGCAGGATTGTCGTGGGAAATGGCCTTTCTGCAGCACCGTCGGCGCTAATCGGACAACTTATCAAGAGAGTATATATTAAGCAGCGATACAAGCTCACCCCCGTGACACAGCGTGCTTTCTCCGCTGGTTTATCGGCACCTCTCTTTTTATGTTGTTGAGTGCCCGAATCCCTCAACTGCATAGCCCTCGCAGCCACCGAGAAGGAAGTAGGAGGGCTTGGGAGAGCCGAGACTAGGTTGCTCGCCCTAAGTGTATCAGAGGGCCGGAGGCTGTCCAAGGGATGTACCCAGTTCGTTTCACGAGAGGTCACCTTTTTACTCGTGACTTTAGCGGGAGAGACGGGCTCGATTACTGAGTGAGGCGGAGAAGCAGCATAGTGAAGTGTCTCAGGACATAAGCTTGTAGTAGAATCGTGATTAGAATCATGTTCAACTTCGTGGCTGCCACAGCGAAAGGACTGAGTCGCGGAAGTCAGAGGTGTACGCTCTGCAGGACGGTATCTAGATGTTTGTATTCCCTGAGTCGCGGAGGAATATGTGGGGTTGCCTCTGTGCTCCGTAGAACCTCCTTGTAATCGGTTCGAATCGGAAGGTATAGCCGCTCTATTGGCTGTCGATAGGTGATTATGTATTTGATAGTACCGTGAAAAAGCAGTTGCGGTATGTACACCATCAAACTCAGGCTGAAGGATGAGAGGGGTGCCAGGTTCAGAGTGTTGGTGGCCAGAGGAAGTCGCCAATTTGCCAATGGACACGTTTTGACGAGTCGGAATGCCACGCGTGGTACGCGTAACAGCAGGCCCTGTCAAAAGAGCAAAGAGTAAATAGCGAAGGCCAGGGTGAAACATGATAATAATCAGCGAGATACGACGCGTACTGATGAAAAACCATCGGTCCCGGGTCAAATAAGCATCAACGAAAAACAGCTCGAATGCTCTGGCGCTTATGCGCAAACATAGTTCACCGCACCCGGCCTCGCCTGGCCAAGGAGTTCTCCACTTTTGTCTCTGACCCCCGGTGGCCGGGATGGCAAGCGGTCATCGGGATTGAGGTGCACGCACAAATTAGATCTCGAGCCAAGTTATTTTCTCGTCAGTAATTCCCATCTCGATGAAGGTGATCAAGGCGTTTTAACCCAACTCATCAGCATCTAGTAATTCCCAGGACATTTCTCCGAATGCCCACGTCTCCTTATTTGATGCTGCTTTTCCCGGGACTTTACCCGTGTGTTATCCTTCGCCCTTCCTGTGCAACACTGTGTTCAAGCCTTGCTTCAGGTTCTCAACAGACGATGTGTAGATCTCGCTGTGCGGACGGCTCTGGCACTAGGCTGTGATATTCATCAACGCTCTTCTTTCGATCGGAAGCATTATTTCTATGCCGACCTGCCCAGCGGATATCAAATCACGCAAAAGTATGGTACGTCTAGATTCCCTCGATCTTGCTGCTGAGTCGCAGATTATCAGAGCCCTTCTTAGCTCCACTCGCGCGGAATGGACGCGTTTCCGTGGACGACACCGGTCGTGTTGTTCGTATTGAGCAGATACAGCTTGAACAGGTGATCCATCTTCTCCCTTTCCACCGATATAGCTGTTCATACACCGCAATTAGGATACAGCGAAGTCCACAAAATCGCCGGGCGCCGAATTTTGGCGTATAGATTTGAACCGGGCTGGCGCGGGCCTCATGGAAATTGTATCATTACCTGACATGCGGTTGGTGAATCATGTCCCCCGTTGTGCGTATTATGGCTTGATGCCGTATGCATTGGTGTAGCACTCCTGAAGAAGCTGGAGCATACGTCCGCAGCCTCCAGGCTGTGCTTCGAGCAGTTGGAGCGAGTGACGGGAAGATGGAACAAGTTGGTGGAATTCCTCTCGTTGTCGGCTCCTGCGTGATGATATGTTCAAGGGTTCATTGCGCTGTGATGTCAATGTGTCCATCAATAGGGAAGGGGAACCCTTTGGCACGCGTTGCGAAATCAAAAACTTGAACAGCGTCAAATTCCTCATGTCCGCCATCCGTAGGATGATTATCAAAATTTCTCAGCTGCGTAACTGACTTCGTGATTAGTCTCAGAGGTGCAACGACACATTTCGCTGCTATCTCTCGGCCGCTCCATCGCTCAAGAAACTCGAGGATTCGATGAAGAACGCGTGGAGACCTACACTCTGCGCAGTAAAGAAGATGCACCGGACTATCGATACATGCCCGACCCTAATCTCCCCCCTCTCATCCTAACGGAGGTTGGGATACGACTTTCCAAGAGTGGAACCTGTGGTTGATTAAATTATGCTTACAGGGCTATATCAAACAAATCGCAAAATCCATGCCCGAACTTCCGCATGCCATTCGGTCCCGATTGCAATCACAATATGGCATCAGCGCCCGAGACACCGATATTCTGATGTCAATTGAGTCAGGCACCGATGTTGGATTTGACGGTGAACCATCCAGAGGCGGAGCGGTGAGCTACTTTGAGCAGGTAGCAAAACATTGCAACCCTAAAGTGGCAATTAACTGGCGCGTCCCATGTGTATTGTGGGAATTCTTATGTTGACGCGCGTCACATAGGATCACACATGAGCTTGTAGGCCAACTGGTGTTTCGAGACGAACCATTCAGCGCGAACCCAGTCACCGTCACGGCCATGCGCGATGTCCTCTCCTTGTTGAAGAACAAAACGCTCACAGGTAAGTGTTTGTGGACAGTTTCAACATTGATATCATCTCTTTCTCACAGCAATTGGTTTTGTTATATATCAGGCACTTCAGCGAAAACATTGATCCGCCATATTCTCAATACCAAGACGACGAAACCGGTTGCGGTACTCGTGCAAGAGTTATCTCTCCAAGCTTCCTCGCCAGAGTCCCTGGAAAAACTATGTCAAAATGCCATCGATGCCCTCCCTCAGGAATCCGAGGCAGTCCGTAAGGGAAACCAAAGAGTTCTCATGAAACTTGTTGGGCGCGTCATGAAACATAGTCGAGGCACAGCGAACGCCAAGGACGCAGCGGCTACGTTGAAGCAAATGCTGTCATGATCAAAAATGAAAGGTAAGTCCCCAATAATGCATAGATTTTGCTCTAATCTAATCCAACAAGCAAATTGTCAATTAACGGTACGTCCAACTCAGTATCGTGATCCAATTTGCGCCTACGAAGTAGTCTGGAACGAATGAAAATGCACCAACGCCAGAAAAGCTAAGGAATGAAGGCTAGAGTCCAAACCATTAAGAATAGGAATAGGAGGGTAAAGAGGGATTGGATTTCACAATATGTCGAGTGGAGACAACTCTATGAGAAATAATGGACAGACAACGAGTAGGAGAGAACCAGGCGGATAAAGTGACAGCATGAGATAGTAATGATACACGAAAAACACTGGTGCAGAAAGAAAAAAAGGGGACGAGAAAATGTCTAGGGCATGCTAAGAGTACCTTTTTAGATACGCCGAGCGTGGAACACCATGATGTGGCCGCGACAGGTACCAATTTCTGAGATACCAGGATCCAATGAGCGCAACAACGATTCCCAATGGTATGCCCAGGCCCAATCCAATTTTTGCGGCAGTGTTCTGGGCTGTCGATTTTCCCTCCTTGCCTGCCCCCCCGCTGCCTGGCCCCTCCTCACCTGGGACGTTGGGCGATGGCTGGCCACCAAAGGGCCAAAAGTCCCCATCAGTGGGCATGATGCACGTTAAGGAGTCCCCATCAGAGACTCGCACGATAGATGATTGAAGATCACAATCCACGACACTGTTCTGATCTGCAACGAAGGGCTCTGGAGTTGGGGTGTTGTCTGTTGAACTGCAATTGGGTCCACGGGACCCAATGAAGGAAGTGTTGTCGAAAAGGACATTATTCTCCACTGTGAAGTTGGTAACAGCACTCATCGCCATGGCATAACCGAACTAATAGGAACATTGTTAGAGGGTAGATTGATATCCACTCTTGGACCTCACTTACTCCTCCGGTAAACTGGTTGTTATATACCGAACCACCGAAACTGACGTTCAGCCCGTATCGGTCGCCGAACCAGGTACGTGGGCCCATAGCAATCCCAATTCTGTTCATAAAGCCAACGTCAGCATAATGAGTAGACCAAGCGACCTGATGCGACGAACTTAATGATTACAGTCTCGTTGTTGTCACCCTTGGTTGCTCCCGGTAGCTCGGGAGTAGTGGCGAACCCGCCGCGTATTGTATTGTCTCGCACAATAACGCCAGTGTAAGTCCCCAGAAACGGTTCGTAGTCGACCATGTTCTGGAACCAAAATGTGAGACAGATATGCTCAAAAAAAAGAAAGGCTGGCGCTCAGGAGACTCACGATTCCACCAAGCAAAGTGTTGGTCTCGACCCATATCGTATTGTTCTCGACGAGCGTTCCAGGACTTCCGAAGATAACAATCCCTCCGTCTGTAGGGTTGTTGACCCAGTTTCCGTGCACATAACTGTTACGACAGCTCAAGCTGATACCATCCGCCCATTGCTGTATTAAAGGGTTTCACCTTGATTATGACAAACTGGCTGCTTACATACCTGGAAGGCATCACTGCCACATGGGCCTATATAAAAAAAAGCAACACAGGTTACATAAATTTGGGCATCAATCAAAAGACGTCTTACCAATGTCATTATACCGTACTGTTGTGTTCGTGCAGTCCAGCGCACCCTCCATGACGTGCAGACACGACCACCCTCGGGGATCGAAGGACCTGACGTATTCAATCAGCTGGTCAGAATTTGAACCTCCCATTTCGATGTTTGCACCGCCATTGATGGGGGGTGCACCAAGCCGGGTGCCATTTATCTGCAGAGAAATGCCAAGCAGTCAAGATAAGTGCATGGAACAGTCGCGGACGCCATTCGAATGATGGGCTGCAGGAGGGGAAAACGTACTCTGACATGTCTGAGAATAGCGCCATCGCAATTTTGGCATTGACCTATGGGAAATGATGAATCATTGAATGTATACGTCAGAAACGGCACGAGGTTGGAAGAAGGAAAATCCGTTTGAGATCCGTCCTCACCATCTACTGCCGTAGTGTGCCCGACACCATTCGCTACTGGGCCGTTGATGAGAAGTATCGCGCGCAGATCTTCGCCGTCCTCGCCTTCAACAGGCAGCCCAACAGTTGAAATCTCTTGATTAGGGGCAAAAAAGTGAATGGGAGCTTGGATGGTGTAGGTGGTGTTCTGACAAAGCCTGAGGCGATACCCAGGCCCAGATGTGTTAAGAGCAATGTTGAGACGATCAGTTAAAGTGTTCATGGGGTCAGGGCTTATGCAATCTGTGATATTATCATTGCTATTGCCCGGGAGGGGGCATTGATTAGCGATAGTGCCGCCATGAGGATTGGGAGAAAACACACTCACGGCTGCAGGAGATGCGACCCTAGTTCAGCACGAGGAGCTTTAAATGCGCGAGCACTAAGTGTCAAAACCGTTGAAACAAGAGACAAAAGGGCTAGAGAAAGCATTGTAGCCCTTCTCAACAGACCAAATGAGCGTGAGGGAGGGAACGAGGGAATGAGTGTTGGGGACTGAAGCGAGGTTGGAATAATTCTAACACTGCGTATGACACGTGATTTAGCACCTTGGCGCTTAATTCCTTGGCATCTGGTCCTTTCGAGCTAACGGCTCAAACAAAGACTTGCATTCACATTGAAAGCTCCACCTTATTTCCCTGTTCGCCTTTCTCGTTGCCATCATTTCTGACTCTTTCCTTTTTTGGGCACGCCATCAAACGTGATTCAGCGGCAAATCGTGGGACGTTCCCGACTCCGAGTTTACGCCTTTGAAAGCCAAACAAACTACCCAACATGGGGTAAATATATACCCCGCTGGCGACGACGATGAGTGTTGCAATCAAGACCAATATTGCACAAGGCCAGAATTGAATGAACGAAGGAATGAATGGATGATATCTTTTTCCTGCGATATTTGTGCGGCATAGGCCATAATCTAATCATTCTCCGCACCCGAGGGACACGATACGGGTTCGTCCGTGGAACTGAAGCGCAAGGATGCTACTTAGCAACGAACATTGATTGGATGAGGAAGTCAGTACTCGTGTTACTTAACCATGCCACACGACATGACCAACCCCAGCTCAACCAGGAAAGAGTGTTCAATTCACTCCGATGGTCGTCCTGAGAAACAAACAAGGGCAGTGAATCTGAATTTGCATCAGCAGATATATATATACCCCTAGTGCAACGAAAGCTGCTAATCGATATCGTTATCCCGAGAAGCGAGTGCTGATGTCTCGTCTATCTAGGGCTGGTCTGATTGCACGCTCCTCAATGGTCCCAGTCATTCAAACGCCATCAACCCTCTCCATGAGAGAGCTTCTCGGCGATCCTGATGACAGATGAGATTAACAAGAATATTCTAATAAGCTGCATCGGGGATCACAGGCGATGCAAGTAGCATCCAAAGGCAGAGTTGACGAACGCGAACAGTTTTCAGTGCACCAGCGTCCATCAGCGATGTGGCTTGAGTGACTGCTCTTGGGAGTACGGACCCAAACCCCTAACCCTTAAGCTGCCGATCGCCAATCACTTCTATTATATGTACAAAATACGAGCCTCCACCCACAAGAACGAGTCGTGCTATTAGCTGTAGTACTGCTACTTGGGAGCGGCATAACTTTCAGATCAACCCGGGCACGGCGCCAGAAGCTGTAGTCATCATTGGCCGGATGCCACTTCACCGGCGCGCTTGAGGATGCCGGCCCCGTACCCCCCGAGACAATGCATGTACGGCGCCGCTGCGGAGCAGTTCCATCATTAAGCTGATCCACAAACATTAGAGAACCAGGCCAGAAAATGAGCACTCGGAATGTCGGATGAATGAACCCATATATACGCTAACTTGCAGTATTCGCTATGCTTCTCATCATGGCTCGATTAGCACAATCGCTGTTCCCAGTTAAATAAGCTACAAAGTCATTCCGCGCGAAAATGCGAAGAGTGCAGTGTCAATACTGATGCAAGAAGGGAGAAATCCCGGGGCATTTTGATGGTGGATGTCACTCCAGTGGATGGCGCTGGATGGTTTCCAGGGCAATAAGTAAAGCGCAAATCATAGACACAATGGGATTGTGTGCCAGTTAGGAATTGCCGTCGGCAGCTAAGCTAATTGGAGATGCAGTATAGTAGAGTTGAAGTCTGAGACTCATACAACTCGTCAGCATCAGGGCGGGATGTTGGAGAACACTGGTGTCGAAGAAGTTCGTTATCCGAGGAGTAAGAGTTGACGTCAATGGTGACAGAAGTCAAATAGTGATGGGTGATGCAGTTCTCCATCCAATAGATGATTGTGCGAAGAACTGAGGCTTAGTAAAAAAGCATATACTTGGGCCAGCAGCATGCACAGCTGGTCTTGCGCTTCTGACGACGCAGAGATTTGCCGGCCGGGTGATGGCAAAGTGGGAGGCTGTGGACCGACGTCTCCATCAATTCACTGCCTCGAGTTGTAAAACGACTATTAAAGGCGGTAATTGCCCTGGCCCCAGGGGCACCTCCATAATATTGAGTTTCCAACCTCAGTTGTACTACAGCCCAACCCCCAACTCCCTATCATGAGCTCAGAGTTGAAAGGTCGAGTGCTTCACTTGCACACATTGATTGTCGTCGGTGTAGAGATCATCTTCATCCTCGCGTTAGTACAATCATTGTTTAGACAATTACGTCTTCTTGTGCTCATCACCACCACTCAAGCGTGGATCCACTCCCCAATGCCCGTGATTCCTACGCGATCTCGATGTTCGTGAAATCGGGTCGAGTGGAGAGGCGAGTCGGCCACCCGCTACAACTGAAGTTCAGTTTCGACCCCAAGGATGCCGATTTTGAAATATGGTGATCCCTCCATCCTTCCCATCTTTCTCATACAACGGTGACTTAGAGGTTACTTTTTTTTTTAAAAAAAAAAACAGCTTGACCCCTAAAAGTGGATTTCCCCGCGACTGTTTGTTTGGCCTTCGAGTTTGGCTTCGCGTCTCCACCATCTCTCCCGACAACCAACAACCCACTTTGTTCAGGCACCGCCTTTTCAGCGAGGAATCATTCTGGATTTCGCGAAGTCCTAACTTTAAGTTGAGGTGGGAAGGCAGTTTTCTAGCCCAACCATACATCGCCAAGGAACGACAGCATGTGCACTCAGCCGTCATTTCCGGTGTCCCTCTCTTATTCATTGCGAAGTGAGTTGTGTTCATCCCTCCGTGCGTTACCCCTAACTTAGGCTTCAGGCTCTCAAATGTCGAAGGGGACAAAGGTGACCCCGCCGAGTTCCTGATCTCCCTCGAGTACGAACTTGGTGGTAAGTTTTCGGTATCCCCGTTGTCTTGCGATGTCACTTGATGCGATCATTCCCATAGGCGTTACCCGCACTCTCTGCCGAAATATCGATGCTCGAATAACCTGCCCTCTGACAGACATCTCATTCGTCATTTACACTATCCCCGCACGCCAAACAACGACCGGGTCGATGCACCGTCTGTTCCTCTGGATCAAATCAACTGCATCACCCCCTCCCCCGACATCGTACCGAGGCAGTCCCAGCCAGTCCATTGTCTACCAGCGCATCTGGAAGACAGACTCATTCCACATCACGGGACTCACTCTACCCCTTCATCTAGCCAGTGATGAAACGATATTCGCAAGACCTGATTCAAGAAGCCCTATGGTGTTCGAAAAAGATGAAGACGGACGTTCCACGGGGAAGGTTATCCCCGCTAGAAGACAATCCTCGAGCCATCGGGGTTCATCGATGGAAACAGCTGTAGCTCCACCCCAACCTCCTACTTCTTCCAATCCTAGGCTGCTCCAGCATACCCCAAAAGCCTTCTACGGCGATTGGCAAAATACGACCGTATCGATCCCTCTACCCACCCCCCCTGGACCCCTAGCAGCTCCTATTGCTCGCCCTTACAATGCGATCATCCCTCCGCGAGATTCTCTGGGCCCGCCTCTGCACCCTTACCACGGTCGCAAGTCGGCATCGCCTGCCTTCGGTAGGGCCTCTTCGGATCCCTTACCCCTTGAGAGGCAACAGATTGCCGCCACGAACGCTGATGATGTAGAGGGGGATTATACGAGCGGTATGACGGGTTGGGTGTGACTTCTATTCAGACCTTGCGTGATGGGAAAGGGGATCAAGATGGAAACGCGTCGTACATGAAGAGAATCCTGAACGCGGACCTGGAGGGCGATTTGATCGATGAGGATGAGGAGGCCTCGCCTAGTTATGAGGCTGTGATTGGAGGCCATTCTGGAGCGTTCCCAGAAGAGAAAGCTGTGCCCAGAAGGTGACGGACTTTGAACGTTATTTATTTGCATTGTGTTGTTGTATCAGCTTAGTCTGGACTTGTGTAATGAGATCTAGCCCGTACAAAAATTTCCACAGCTTCCCCGTCTTTGTAAGCCTGAGGCATTGCAATTTGCGGAAGTTGCGAATTTAAATATATTCTCCTCCGGAAACTGTACATGCATGTGTCATTATTGTATATCAACACACATGGAATCGCGAATCCAATTTGCGGTAGCGGCTAGTGAGTTTTTACCCTCCATGAGATCTAGCCGCCGACTACTTTTCCCATTACTTATCGCAATACTGCAGGAACCCGCTCGGCTCCCGCAGCCCGGTCCCCATACCCCCATGCGGCATTAATCGCGACACATATGATCTCTATCTCTCCATACATATGAGCGCTAGTCAATTATATGTTTTGTATATATATGCATGGACTACCCGAACAACCAAAACGGAAGACGCGAACCATGCACTCAGCACTCCCAGAACATTCACCTATCCATAATGTTGATGACGATCATCATCATCATCACCCAAAGTTTGGCGCCGGTTTCATAATTAACGGCCTCCTCATCTCGCGGCGGTGGGGGTCTGGCACCGTCACCCAAACGCCTCGCTCAGAACTGTGTCCAGGAAGGCCCTTAAAAAAACTCGGGGGGAAAGCCCGGAATATTGTGCAGACCCATCGGGTTAATTTCGCGGGAAAAACCCAGAAACCAGGATGATATCAGACGTCTATGTAAATCTGCGGACTCGGAGACTGGCTTGAAAACACAGAAAGATTGAGCCGGTTCATCGTTAGAGGAGAGGTGTCGCGCTTCACACAAGCCGATGAGCATCTCCAAAATGTTTATCGAGGACGTTTATATTCAAAGAATAGGTTTCAGAACGAGCAAGCTGAAAGACTCTGTTCACATGCCCACTCATGCATATGCTCCGGCTTCCATAGCCAATATCATATTACTTACTGCCATATGAGGGGTGTAGAACAAACGCATTAGAGAGGTTGAATTTGGGAAGTGATTTGAACTGTGAACTAAAAAAAATAAAAACGTATTGTGGCGCTTGAAACAGGCACATATGAAATTTCTTTCAGAAAAAGAATAACGAACAGCCGCATGAGGAATACGTGGAATACATAGTCCTGTAAGAAAGCGGAAACCGTGGTACGAATCTCGATCTCGTCCAAAATCGGTCCCAAAACCCGGAAATTTGGGAGGTCAAAAACTGCTGAGACACAGTTTTGAGCGGGACACCGCGGCTAGTTACACAGACTGAAACAGAAGACTTGCATCTCCCTGAGGTGGGATATAATCCGAGGAATCTATCTACCTGAATTGGGAGACGCAACTCGATTTCAACTACCAATCAGGGAGCTTAAAGCATCAATGCATTCACTCTTTTTTCAATGTATCCCCGGCCCCCGCCTCCTCATGAGCCACTGTTATCATGGGTTGCCCCCGTTCACAGTATGTGACTTTCGGAGTCACCAACTGTCCAAACCATTCTCGCAACCCCACACCCCAGGGGATAAAAGATCAGACAGTTCCGCCTCTGCTCTCTTCCCACACTCGCTACCCGCCTTTCGTTCTTTCATCCTTCCCTCCAACACTATGTCCAGCAGTCCGTCAGGAACACGTTCATCTGAGGATTCACGAACACAGCGCAAGTACAACCACGCTTGCTCTGTTTGCCGCGAATCGTAAGTAACTTGTCACCATGGAATGAAGGCAAGCCAGGCACTGATGACTTTGCTCTAACTCAGGAAACATAAACGGAAGTGCGACAGACAATGGAATATCGAAGGCGCAAGATGTTCAACTTGTCAGAAGTTGAAAACTGAGGTAGGCTAGATCTCCCTGATGGAGCGAGGCTTTGGCACCATACTTATTCAACGATTGCAAAGTGCATTAGGCCGACCCTTAAACCCCGCGGCTCAAGGAAACCAGCGAACACCTTGGCCGGTGGCCATCTCATCGCCTCTGGTGCGTTGGCTCATGGATTCGCATTCGTGAGCGATTTAATCCCTTGAAGACCCCCTACTCGAAGGTCCATCCAATCGAGATCATCGCCGAGAACAGGATATCCGACAAACCCCTGCATATGTGCTGCAGGATACCGGAATAGAGGAGGGCATCCGCCAGGCAAATCTCCTCTTCCCAGGCGTTTTCCACCGAGAACGCTTCGAGCAACGCTCCCAGTACTCAAGAGATGTGAACATCGACGATCATGAACATTTCAGTTTCATGTTGCTCGTCGTCTTTCGTCTCATCAGTAAGAGGGTTTGGGAGGACGGGTTGAGAGAGCTTCTGGACGTTGCCAAAGAGGCATATGGAAAAGAATCTGAAATCCCGACACTGGCCACCGTTATGGCCACCATTCTACTGTCGTGGTGGCTGTCTAAGTCGAGGGCCCAGAATCGCTTTGGTAAATATATACCCCCTGAATGGAAACATAGATGCTCATCACCCCCCTCGCTCGTGGCTTTAGCAAAAGATCTACTAGGCAAGTTGTTTACTTGGTGTATGCGCATCCACGAGTTGCTGACAGGGAAGTAAAAATTCTAACCACATTAGCTAACGCGCAGGCATGTCAGTGCTCATCTTGGTCCGTTCAAGTATCACACCACTGACCACATCGCAGGGCTGGGTTCGTATGATGAGCGCGACCTTCTAAAGAGCGTATCGCACGACAAGATCCGCCAGCTCCTGGATACAGTCAGTGATCTTGTACGTAAGCGGATAGCAATGCCTCGATTATTTCGCTTGTGATACCTGGTTTATAGGGAAACGTCCAGTTGCATGTCCACCACAATAACGATTCAATCTTGGGGATTCGATCGTCCCCATATCTGGTGGATTCCATGCCAGGACGGTCCTCCTCGCCAGCGGGAGGGCTTGCGCCAGCTGGGTCCCATTGCCAGCCTCCCCTCCCCAGTCCGCAGAATCCAATGGGCCCTCCCAACGTGCCGGGAAACCTCTCACTATTCGGCTCCACTGCTCTGGGGGTTCTGCTTTCAGGGGTATGTCATAACGATGATGCTGGCTTCATGCTCCGCAATCTTCATCAACCAACTGACCACTAGCTCTGATAAGCGTCCTAGTACCGTTGTCCAACCATTGAGCAATGAATCGTACCTTCGTCGATATACGAGCCTGCTGTCTGTACCGCCTGTACCGTCTGCGCCGAGCCCGCAGCAGGAAAGTCGGGCTGCCACTCTCTACCCCAATGGTATGACGCAAGCATCCGAGGAGTATACTGGAGCAAAGATAGAGCCCTACTCCAACGTAAACTCATTATGTGCTCCAGATGATACACTCTTTGGGCCTTGGGATGGAGCCGCACGCCGAAATTGGTCATGAACGTGTGCATTGTTGTGCATCTTTATTTACTCGCATTCGTTTGCTGGATCCGCTGCCTGCGAGCAGGCACACCGACGAAGTAAATGTTCGATTTCTTAGTGAGCGATAAAAGATGCTTTTCATACCAATCAATTTCATTACGTTGTGTCATGCCAGCCGTGTCCCCAACATAAGTATACTTGTTAGTAGAGGCTGGGATCCTGCCTAGTATACTTGACGGGCATGAAGGTGCGTTGTCAGAGTGCTTTCTGCGAGCTTCCTGGACACGTTAGAGATAAAGCGAGTAGAAGGTAGTCGGTGTTGTGAGCGTTCGCAGAGGGGTGAGACACAGCCAAGGTCGAATTGCCTGGACACCTGGACTTCTGCTGTCTGTGCCGATGTGCGGCTACTAAGCATCTCGTGATGCGTTCCGTGGGAAAATGCTTCAGTTATCAGCTGCATTATTTACCTTTCAACCCGTTTGCGTCTTTTATTCTGCGTCGAAAGTCCTCACAACGATCCTGCTTTATTGTATCCATGAGTGCACTATTTGCTACATTTTTTTTTTACTTGTACTGCTAGGACTACAACATGGAGACAAGCTTTTGGTTCTCCCAGTAAGTTTTACGGACTGCTATTATCAATGCGACTTTGACCTCAAACCTTAACATTGTTAGCGAAAAAGCTGTCCCACTCGGCTGCACCCCATCCCGAAGAAACGTCGCTAACGAAGATTCCATCCCAAACAGCACTTGGTGAAACATGGATTCCATTTTGACGGCCTAGTTTGACTTGAAGAAATCGTAGCCGGTTAAACCCCTCCAAAGAGCGCCATATATCGCAATGATTATTCCACACTCACTGTTCCATTTCAGGTCGTTGGTGACGTCGATGCCTCCATTGGGGGATCCTTTATAGGTGAGAGCATCCTTGATCGCTGGAAGCTTGGATTTGTCGATCGAGGGTACTTCTCCTGCAAGCGCAACGAGTTTTTCGCGGATCTGAGTGGGAGTCAAGTCCGCAACGGCGCGGTCAAAGAAGGCTTCTTGGTTCTTAAAGAGCTGTAGGAGACGAATTAAAGAAAAAAAACGAAATGCGTGCTCGAAAGGGATGTTATAGATAGAATGGACAGGACTTACGACCGAAGTGTAGTCGAAGAAACTTTCAGGGACGACTTTGCCGACCGCTAGAGCGGCTTCGTGCGTGAAAGTCGAGGATCCGTGCCTTTACGTTATTCGTACGTCAGGGGGGAGGATATGTATGATGACGCAATCCGTGAGGCAGGCTTGGGGATACGCACCAGGGTTGGACCTGGAGACGAAGGAGAAGCTTGACTTTTCCCTTTAACGCGCCGGTGGTCACTGCAGGAGCGAGGATTGGCACTATGGAATTCTTGAAGATCTTGGCTGGAGTTTGAACGATCGAGGGTAACGTCGATCGGCGCGAGAGATAATGAGCGATAGTTGGTTCACAATGTGCCAGCTATATACACACACCTGAGAAAGGGCAGACATAGTCTAGCCAAAGTTCAAGAGTGTGAGCAGCATCGGGCGCTCCGATACGGAAGAAAGAGAGGTGAGGAAGAAGTGACATGTTCGCTAAACAGGTCGATGAGGTGATAAGAGAGATTTTATGCACTCGGATCAGTGATCCTGGCAGGGTGTGTAATAATGGCGTGACGTTGCATGTGGTCCATGACTACTGAAGAGGCTGATTTCATTATCTCAGCTTTCGATCAAGTTCATATCCGTTTCTGCAATTTCAAATGCTCCACGTTCTCACAAGCACGTGAGCTGCCCCGAAGATTCAAGGAACCTGGGCGTTAGGCTGAAGCAGCCTCTACCGGGGTGTCAACTCACGCGACAACTTTTGTCGTGAAGGGATGCTCAGGTCTTTTCTTACCCTGTCTCTTCTATCCTCCTTTTGGTTACCATGCCATGGGTATTTCAGCCAGGGATGGCAGCCGGGCCAACCAGTGACCAAGTTCTTGACCCCCATCTCCACCACCACCGCGGAAAGCGCGTTGCCGACTGACCCAGGGACTGCGCCCGTGAAATCTCATAGCTGGAAGGATTTCAAGTTGGGTCTGGAAGACATGCTGACATCTGGGCCCGTGTCATCGGTGCTCATGCGCTTCGGGTTCAACATCTCTGAAAAACTAGCCCTCGCTCGAGAAGGCGTGCCCCCTCGATTTGTGCATGAGATACCCCTAATAACAGATAGCAACTATGAAGACATGATCCACAATGAGGACTTTACGTCACTGGAGGAGGAAAAGAATCGGGTATGGGCTATTCTTGTGTGCGTTTCGCGTTTTTTTCTATCTTCGGGGTGTAGAGAATGCTTTCTCATTAACTACCGAAACTTTCTCAAGTTCTGTGGGTAGCCAAGATCCTGTCTCCCATTTCTTCGACCAAACGTTCGATGGTGCGCACAATCTCACCGTTCAAGCCGGGGATGCGGACAATATTCGTTGGGGGCGCGTCGATTACTTGGACGTCACTGACATTACAACTCGATGGGTCATTTGGAGGCAAGTATCTCTATTTAATTTCATCATACTTAACCCCCCGCCGTCCCTCACACCTTCACCAATTCAGGGCACCGGTCCTAGTCATTGCGACCGACCGCGGTTTGACGCTCCGATTCTTCAAGATCGGAGCACTTTCGCGGATGAAAAGTCCAGAAGAAATGCGCCACTTTGTCATCAGTCGTGAATGGGAGCAAACTGCCTCCTGGTCAGGACCATGGAGTCCCCGAGGAAGTCGGTGAGTTGTTTTCTTCCTAGAGTTCTCCTTCATATTCGCGAATACGATTAACAAGAGTGTATCCCTGACCGACAAAAAAACAGTGCTGGGTTCCTTGCCAAATACGCAAAGATGTCTACCATGATTTACACCTACTTGAATTCGATCCCCCGTTGGCTGTTGCTCCTAGTGACCGCGACGACTGCATCTGCTCTCATCCAATTCTTACATGCTAATGACGCCGAAGAAGCGAAAGCACGAAAGAAAATTACTAATGCGAAGGAAAAAGACCGGGAAAAACAAGAGGAGGATCCCCAAAATTCGAAAGGGAAGACTAGCGTGGTGAAGACCGACAACCCCCCGACGAAGAGGAAGGGGAGGAAGTAAGGATCTATGCCGATTCCCTTTTGCACACCGGTCCGGCGCTACTGGGATATTGTTTTGTATCTAGTGTACACATTTGTGAGTGTGCCTTACTTAGATTGATTGTGTGTATTGCTAGGGTGCTATGACACATTTTTGGGCATTTCCTTTCTCGGTATCTCAGCATTTTTCTCGAGGGCTTATTTACGTATAAGCTGATACTAGGCAAATTGCATTTAAGCATTGAACGCGTAGCAGGACCCCCGGTTATGCTATGACCAAACCGACGATAGTATCCTTGGAATCATTGCATTCCTCTCCTTGCCTGTTCGGCTCGTCCTATGCGGCCTTTGTGCGTATGTAACATTCTGCTTCACGGATTTCAAATTGTTCTGAACAAAAGCATGTGCGAGTTGTTGGCTGGCCCACAGCCGCAACCAACGGGATCATTTCATTTTGGCGAGCCTTTTGTTGAGGCTTTAATATTGTTGCTAGCTTCGACCTACGTCAACGCAAAGGGCATTTCACGCGCCATCAGTCAGAAAGGTTGCATCCCCAAAGCAAGAAAGGGCCACCGAAGCCGGGTGGTGGGCCAGATCCTTAGCAGTGTATGTTGTTTGGCCCCCCACACCAGGGACGAGCTTCGCTATTGCACAAAGGCGCTGGCGACTTCCCGTTCGTCCAGATTGAGTGTACCGCCTACGCTACATTTCTTCGCTGCCCTCGCCACGGGACGGAATATAGGGTGTCTCCTTGCTGCTAGTAATGCGGGTCTTGCGCAATATCCATATCTTGCGGCGATTGCTTGGAATGCTAGGATTTACAGATCTACCAACTTCCTTTCTTAGTCTCATTCGGTTGTTGCAGGGTCTTGGCCCTGACGGTGTTAGGCACATCTATTCAGATTCTGTGGTGGCCCCGTTCCACTGCTGTCAAAGTCGTTGCTTTGTTGTGGCTCATTTGGCAGATCCTAGCTGGTTGTGCGGCAGCATAAAAACTAGACTGAGCTGACGCTTGGTGGCTTCACTTATCGCCTGGAGTGTATGAGTATGAGCACTGACAAGCAATCGCTCCAAGTAAGCATTTTTTACATTTGTTGCTTATGTTTCTGACAGCGTATGCTCATAGCAGGAAAAATTAAATACATCGGTAAGTCATGGCCAATGGAGCATTCAACGTTGCGCTGGGTACTGACACCTGGATTTCCAGTCGTGCTCACACGAAGATGAAACCAAGTGGCAAGAAGCCGTCAATGAGTTCATAGATCACGACAGAACCATCGTCAATGGCTGGCTAAGTGCACTGGATATGCTCATGCTTTTCGTACGTGAAGCGTTTATCGATAGCCTAAGATGCTCATAATTATCTAGGCTGGACTCTTTGCTGCCATTCTATCCGCATTTCTCATCGAATCGTCCCGGGACTTGAGGGCTAAAGATATAACCGTTCTATCCGATCAGATAGCTCGGCTACTCTCTAATGTCACTTCAACGGATGTCGGCTCTGAAGTTGGTGATTCCGGGGGGCGATTTCACCCATCGACTACCACTATCGTGGTGAATCGCTTATGGTATTCTTCCCTCGGCATTACACTCAGTTCTACCGTCATCTTGATGCTCGCCAAACAATGGCTAGAGGAGTACAGGACATCAGGAATGAGCCTGAAATTCTTGAATGAGGACTCGCTAGAGGGGATTAAACATCAAGCATCTCTTGTGGCATATCGGAGTGCAGGGCTGTCACTATGGATAGTTCCTGAAATTATTGGGGTGCTTCCTATTGCATTGCACATCGCGCTACTTCTCTTCGCAGGTGGACTCATTGGTTACCTCTGGAATGTGGATCGAGTTATTTCGATACTTGGCGTTGTTTGCACCGCGCTCCTCGAGATATGCCACGCGACGTCACTAGTCGTACCCGCGATCTTCCCAAGTTGCCCATACAGAACTCCCATCTCTCATCTCTTTTCGAATATCGAAGGCGCGATTCTAGTCTTTAGTTATTGCGGTGTTCCCACAACTGGCAAAGGGAGCTTCACAAATCCTTCCTCCACCGAACGACGCACTATTTCTCCCGTGAAAAATTCATTTCATCAATATTATCTCCGCTTCGTGCAAGGTGAAAGCCGCCGTGTATGGAGTAGCCTGTCGGTGCGAGACACGTTATATCACAAGGAAACATACCAAGTAGAACAAAACGTGGAGGATTGGCAGATCGAGTTTCTCACACTATTCCAGGAAAGAACAAGACGTCCAGCAATGCGGGAATGGGCCTTGAGGACCCGGGAGCATATCTCGGAGCTTCGAACCAACGCACTCCAAAACCACCCCCCAAGTTCATCTATATCTGATATCACACTAGCAGTTACAAATGTATGAAAGAGATCTTGTCAGAAATGACCGAAGCGCCCGGGTGCGTTCGGGTCGACTTGACGATAGACCGCTGGGACATACACACTTGCGGGAAACCGTTTAATAATCACCTATTACTCATCACGGGATCAATATAACTAGGTGTCGTAGCGAGGGGGGGTCATGATACCTTCTTAGATACAAAATCATGTTCCAAGAGCATGCTCCCCATGCTCTCGGAATCCCATGTATATATATATAGATACACAATCACGTTGTGCTTCTCATATATATAGGGACCGCAAATAGACACTGTATATACAATCACGTTTCCAAGCATGCTCTCAGAATCCCTTGTATATATAGACACTACCAACAGAGCATGCTCTCAAAATCCGTCATATATATAGACACTACCGACAGAGCATGCTCTCAAAATTCTTTGTATATATACACACTACTGACAGAGCATGCTCTCGAAATCCCTCATATATATGGACGCTACAGACAGAGCATGCTCTCAGAATTGTGGAATAACAATACCATACAAATAAACGACAGCGCCTAAACCACTTTTTTATCACGTGTCCTTTCAAACATGTTAGCGGAGTTATCTGAATTTATCGTCCTACTGTCTTATTGTTGCCGCCCCAACGCAGCCCACAATGGGGAGATCAAAGCGCAAAGCTAAGCTTGTCAACACAAACTTCGTAAACAATGGCTTGAAAACAACGAAATCTGGGCTTGTAATGCGTAAAATGGCCTGGCAAAAGTTCGAAGCCACACAGTCCACCATGCTCAAAGGTGAGGATTGCCTGCAGATAGTGGGCCCAAGGACTTAATCAACCACCACCTTAGATGCCTCCCCAGCTATTGGTTCTATGATAGAAGACATTAGAAATGACATTGTGCTCGGTGGGGATGATGACTGGAGCATAGGCATCAATGTTGACCATACATCCTCGGACATGACTTACAAGGAGCTTGCTGATGTAGTAACGTCGCTTCAGCCAAAGCGGTGAGTCTTTTTTGTTGGGTTCCCCATCTTGATGCTTTGCATCACCTTTGAGACGAACCAGAGGGGTTTCGTGGCAGAATCGAATAAACGCATCCCAAGCACACTGGGCAGCATTAATTCCCAGTCTTTCTGATGCTTACCTCATGTCCAAGACAAGTAATCCTCAATGCATGCCACTCCATCACCCTGAACCTCCAGAAAACTTGAATTCCACTCATATTTATGTCATCGACATTTTTGGTACACTTATTCTACTTAATATTCCTTAGGAGATACTACTTTTTTCCATAGATGGTCGATCGTACGAGTATATACCTCAAGACCCAGATGAAACCTCAACTACCATCGCCCTGCTTCGTTCAGGCTACATTCCACCCACTCCTGTTAATCCGACTGTTGCAATATCAATACGTTCTCTTGAGCTCCTTCATGGCCTTATGCGTTCCTTGTTGAACTTCAGTGTCCAGTCTTTCGCTCGGTTGTTGGCAGATTTGCATTGCATGAGTAGAAACGTTGGGCACTGCACTTTCCTGGGCTGACGGAACACTTCTCTAGGTTGTATATCAACCATACCTTCGAACGCAGGTGGCATTGGCTTTTGATGCATACTATTCCATCGTTAGGAGAGTGAACACCTTCGTAAAACATGTCATGGGACATGACAAACTGGATTATTGCCTCAAGAACTCATGCCCTGCCTGTCATTACCAGGTATGCCCCATTTTTTTTTGTGATCACTCGTTAATGTGTCATGCTAGCTTCATGATGAACCAGAGCATTTGGTTGAATTCATTGTCACTGGTGATGGAAATACTTCTCTATTGCACCTTCCACATCGATATGAATCTGACAATCGAATTTTTTACAGTGACTACTATCTACCTCGATCAGAGGTAGATGTGTTTGAAAACACAAAGAAGCAAAACTCAACGGTATGACAGACATTTGGTATGGTGAACACAGATCTCACTTGGTGATGATACAGACAGGAACAAACGATCCACTCCCAGAGTCTTGTGCCGGATGGAAGAATTCTCGGCCAATGCCTCAAACAATGAAGGCTGGATCCCTGGGTGTTATGGACGAAACTGGTGTCTTCTTGGTTATTTGCCGGCATGGCATTGTTCAATTCATCATGGATATGGTCAGGAGCGGGGAATTGTAAGTCACTTTTACCCTCACTTCTTTCCCTCCTATTCATGCCGGCTACAAGGGCCAAGTACCCAGTCGCAGCTGCAAACAAACTAGTCAGCACATTTGGGAGAAATATCCTCTTTGCTTATGACATCGGGTGCACCTTCTCGGTCACACTTGCTCACTCTGCAGTCAGTGATGCTGCCTGTCAGGCCAATTTTACATCCTGCACTGGATCTTTCCATGGTGTTGCACATAGTAGGTTGTGTCAACTTACTCATCTCATAGGCTTCAAAAAAGGGGTGGGTATTGAAGATGGTGAAGGTAATGAGCGAGCATTCTCTTCTAGTAATGGTCTGGCTGCAGTAACTCACCATGCTTCCGCATATTACCAGCATTTCCGAATCCACCTTCATTTCGAGAAATGGGACCAGGATAAATATGAGCGCTTAGGTGAGTGTTGCCGCCTTCAAATACTCAGATCTAATTCTGGCATCTAGGCAACTTCCTATTAGGGAATCATGCATCTGCATGGACACAGATCCGCAAGTCCATGGATATCCTCAAGGTGACTAAAGGTATACACCCATCATTCAATGTCGATCGTGACTGCCCGCTGTTCCTACAACAAGAGAAGGAGTATATTATGTCACTGAAATCTGAGCCGAAGGATGAACAAGCCAAAATCGAGTATCTTGAAGCGTTGGAGCATTTAGAGGGCGCTGAGTAAGTTCTGCCCACATAATATGTACATTGACTCATTATTTGAACAGGATGGAGCTTCAGCCACTTCTATCAAGACTATCTGTGTCACCGACCTCAGAACTGGCCTACCAGGCTCAACGTGCCTGTGTCAGAGTACAGCCCGGTTAAGTCCGGACTGCTTACACACAACTGATGACACACCTGCCCCATACCCGCACAGCCTGATCATCATCCCCGGACTGGCACAGACATTTGTTATATTTCCTTCTGTAGAGCGGCCCCGCTTTGCCGGGTGTACTGACTTTATTATTCCCTGGGTAGCGAGTGAGGAAGATAACTTTCTTCTCTCACTTCCCCTTGCTGCTCAGGTATGTTGTACATAGTATATACAATGATGTGATCTCACTTCCCCTCGCTGCTCAGCTGGAATCCCTATCACAATCCGCTTTGCCGGGTTCCCCCATTGAGACTGATCCTGTCCCCCTTGGCCTCAGCTCCAGTGAAGGCTCGGGATCCCTTGACTTAGAGTCCGAGCAGCTCAGTACCCTGACAGCCTGATGCAAAGTGGACGAAGCACGCTGTCAGGGTGTCACGACCTGGCGTTCCCCGGGGTCAGACGACCTCCTCCCTGACCTTCTCTCAGTCCTGAACACTCCCCACACACTCCACTGTAGGAGAAATAACGGTCACACTATGGAAACCCATTATGGAAATATGCCAGATAAATCACAAAACCTCATACGACAAGTAGATATGAGAAAATAGAAGGACCTGAATTTTAACGAATTTTAACGAATTTTAACGAATTTTTATGAATTATTATGACTATACGCGATAAATCAAAAGAAAGAAAAATAGCAAAAATACTTCAAGCTTACCATCAATGAGACGGAATTCTCGGGGGAATTTATAGCAAATATTAAACCAAGAATTAGGACAATCGGCCAAGATTTGACTATAAAAACAATCAGAGAACCTCCACAGAAACTACTTTCCCACATCCGCACACGTAGCCAAGGATGGAAGTACCATGGAACAAGGATTCCTCAGGAACTAATGCAAAATTCAAAGTCGTGTCTATAATAGGAAATGTAGATGTCCCCCAAACGGACCCAATGAAAGTAATTACAGGGGAAACTACCCATTGTCAGAAACTGTGTTCGAGGGGGTCGCGGGAAGCGGGGTGGAGTACGGCGGCGTAAGTGGTCACTTAGCTAATGAGCTACTCCGTTGCAAGGCGTCAAGGGGGTTGGGACTTCGGCTTCAACGACTTTGCCAGAGCGTTGCGCCACGCATTCTAGGCTGTCCCGTATTTCACGTTAGCGGGAAGGACCTTGCGGCGACGTTGACTTAAGCGGGATGAAGTTGAGGGGCGAACTTAAGATGAAAGTACTTGGGGGGAATTCTAGTCGATATTCGAACTGAGGTACATCGACAGTAAACTACAAGTATAAATAGGAAAGGAGAACAGAGAAGGGACCGGTCGGTCCGGCGCGGGACGGGAACGAGATGATAAGTACGACAGAACTAAAGAGCGATGAGGACCAGGGTAATGGAACAGAAGAGATGAATGGAACAGAGAACAGCGAAGTTGGGAGGCAGAAAGGATAAGCCGACATTCTAGGCGCGCGGATCAGAATGTCAATATACGTATAAATCAAATATCAATAAAGGAATAATCAATTGTCAATAAGGAATGTCGATAAGGAGCGGATCATTGGCGACCATAACAACCGCTAGTTAGTTAAGCGAGTGAATAGAATAAAACGATACCGGCCGAATGGTTGAGGAACCCAAGTGGTGGCGGGAAAACGAGGGAGGCGCTGCTATGGGGCCGTAGAACGGGAACCACTATCGGCGCCGCTAAGTGATGGGCAATGGCGAGATTAACGGGCGCGAGTAACGGCGTAAGAATGGGGGTGCAGAAAGTGGTAGAGGGGCGGGGACTTTGCGGGGCCGTGACACCCATAAACGACGGAGATATGACTAAAACCCCTGCAAAACGAGGACAACGTCTAAAAGGCAAGCGCGAAGATTAACCAGTAACGACCGAGACAAGCTTGATAGCCCATTAGAAAGGAAGGGATCTAATCTTAATCCTCCCAAATTTTCATAATAAAAGGATCATGCATTAATGAGATATCCAATAATGGGAATAGCGACATCAAAAGTCCAAGCTCAGGGAAAAGACGATGTTTGCGTAGGATCCATAATTAAAACATACAACGAAATTTACACGGAAATTATGAAAAATAAGAAACTATAGTTGTGCAAATTTTCAGCCCAAACGGTCCAGCCGTTGTAAAGTTATACCAATGACGGGAATATAGAAATCCGCATCATGTTTAATGGCACGTGAGGGTGGCAATGCGAAGGGAACCGGCCGTTGGAACCAAGATCCGCACTTTGGCAGATCGCGAAGACCAATTTCCATCCAAATAAGGAAGAGCCTGGTCAAAACAAAGCACGGAAAGTGCAAAACAACCCTAGATCATGAGGGAAAAATCTGAGATAAATCACAGAAGCCCATATGAAAGATATAAACATCCGCACATATCATAAATCCCGAACAATTAAACAGAAACAGCGCCTGCATACGAACGACTATGGGAACGATGCACGTGATTACCGAATGTGCGTGCGAACTTTTGCTAACTCAACGAATACCAGGAAATAGGACACAGCCTTAGTATCATTGGAAAGGTGGGAATAAATGAAAATTTATGATACCAAGAACGTGAGAAAACATCCAGAAATGAATGAGATACAAGGACATGAAGTTAGAAACCTGAAAACGTGCAGGAAGACAGCTTCAAGAGGTCCAGAGTCCTAAATAAAATACATAGAAATATGATATCTTCAAGGACGACCTACTATAACAACGAACAATACATATGGAGGACTAGGATGTGATAATACAAAGGGGAATCAGGGAATATGAACGAAATTCACGAAAACCACTAAACTACGACGGACCATGGCAGGAATTTTAGGGAACGATATTCTAATGAAGTGGAGAGCTATAACACATTTGTTTGAGTAATTCTTGACTACTAGTAACTTTTTCTTTCAGTTTTAAACCTGAATAATTCACTCATTTACCATTTCAGTCTCATTTTAACTAAATGTCACTAAATAAAAATGGAATAAATCAGCTGAAGGTCTGAGCACAGCCGTACACATAGTAATGCGAAGTTTGAATTCAGAATCATTGAGTCATAGCAAATTTAATGGTATATATAGGGAATTTGAAATAGGTAACTGCGACAAATGCAGTGCAGCCAAGTTCTAATTAACCATTAAAATAGCTTAGGCGAGGGAGGACAATAAGGATTCTAGGCGCAGTCTGACTGCAGTAGAACCGCAGTTCAGTGCAGCAAAAGTGCAGTAGAACTATAGCATGAAAATTTCATTTTTTATTCAGTTTGAGAAAAATACACTGTAAATAGAAGGTAGAGCGTGAAAAAGGAAGGCGACCCAAGGAGTATAAAAGGGAGACCCTTTCTGCAACTTTTCGCCCCCCTTAGAGAAGTAAGAAAATAGAGTATTATTTTTCTCAAGCATTTCTGGTTGTCACTCCAGCGCGAAAAAGTGATATACAGTTAAGATTGCCACTGTAGTAAAAGGCAGCAATTAAGGAGAGAAATATTAAGTAAATATTTCAACAGGAGAGCTGGTTAACACTCCAGATTTCAAAGTGTAAACACAAAACAGTTATCTTGCTACTGTTAAAACAAGCAATAAAATAAGACAAAAATAAAACAAACCCAAGGGACACTCCAGACACAATCCAAATCCATTAACTGAATAGAATCTTTGAAATTTCACCAAGTAGAAGATTAAATTCAAGTTAAATTCCAAATTAAACAACGCTACACAGAATTACACCTAGACAAATTAAGAAATTTCAATAAAGAAACAGCTCCGCAGGGCTCGGTTTATCTGTAAGTCAATTCCCAGGAACTTTAAAACTAACCCATAAAAATAGAATTAGCCAAAACACTCGGATTGGTACTATATTTACAATAAATAATACTAGTACAACTTCCCCATCCTAACTAAAGAACCAGGGAACAGCTTGGTGGTGGTCTCGTTTGAACCTCCCAACTGACCTTCCTTTGTTCTCTCCTTCACCGCTCGCCGCCCGTTGCTGCCTAACCACTTCCCGCCACCTCTCCACGACCCCTCTCCTAATTGTCGTTGAACGACCTAGCGGTGCGGAGCGCCGCGACCCTTGTCCCATGTTTCGCTGCACCTTGTTATCTCGTGGCAAAGGTCACGTTTGACCTTCGCTGTCTTGGACATGTGCTCCTTGTTTGTTTTCCTTCTTCTTTTCTCTGCCCGCAATCTCCGCGAGATCTGGCGACTTATTCCCTATTCAGTTCCCTAGCGCTTATATACAGCTTGTAACTAATGCTTGTACTGTAGTTCGAAATCAACTAGACATTCACCCCTAAGCTTACTTCTGTTCCCATAAGACCTCCGACCTTCTGAAGTATCGGGACCATGTCGAGAACGAGGTGCAACGCTCCTCCTCGAGTCGTTGAAGCTGAAATCCCGGCTCTCTCGCCTAAGTAGCCTCGGCCTCGGGATCGGTGAGGTTATTCCTCACTGAAGCTCGGTCGTGTATAGGACGCCTGTATCACTAGTGGGCAACGTTTGGTTGCCTATGGCTGCCCTTGGCGAACCTTTGCACGGTTCTGACACAGGGACGCGTCTGGGGTAGAGGGGGTCCGGATGTATCGCCCGGCAGAAGGGCCCTCACGGGGTGCGAACCGGGCGTGTGTACTGGCAGGTCCGGGAAGGGACAGCAGTCCCTGGCCACTTAGACTGAAGTGGAGAATGTGTTATTGTTATTAAAAGGGAGAACTATACTACTTACCTGAAGTGGAGAATGTGAGAAGAAGGTTACTTCTTCGGTTCCCACTTCAGGTACATTTATGTACATGCGGCTTGAGTCACATGACAAGTGCCACGTCACCCTCGGAGACAGCTGCAGGCATCTGGGTGTCCCCATGGGGGATCCCGAGAGCGTCTGCTGCATGCACGCATGCTGGGCACAGCGGGAAGCCGTCCGGGGTGTGTGGGCCAGACGGGTCAATAGTACATTGATACAAAGGAAGGTGGTCCGTGTAGATAGAAGGAAATAAACAAGAAAAGGAAGATGAGAGGAATGAGATAAAGAAAGGAGAAGAAAGAGAGGAAGGAAAGGGGAGGAGAGGGAGGAAGGAGGAGGGAGAGGGTTGGACAGCGGGGAGCAGGTGTGGTGTGGCCAGGTGGGTCCGGGTGGACCTGGGTCAGGCGGGTGTGCCCTGACACATGCTGCATTGTCTCTGCACTGGAAGCGACATCGTTCTTCACATTACCATGGCATGCTGACTCATCTCAGTGCCAAGAGGCCATCCGATTGCGTAACCAGAGAAAGTATCATTGCCTGCTTGATGACTTGGAACACCGTGTCATCTCTCATCAGTTTGAGCTTGAAAAGACGGGTCTCCCCAAAACTGGTGAGTATTTCACCACAATTCGTGATGACAATATTGACTTGTCTATGATAGACTACAAAACTCGTCGATGGATATCAGAACTAGTTGGAAAGCAGGGCAAAATGCTCCATTCTACCCTTGACAAGTACAACAATGCTGCGACCTCAATGATCCCCCCAAAGCCATCCCTCACTTGGGATGATGTCACCCACCCTGATTTCCTGAGTATGGTCGAGCTCTTACAAGGCCGTGATGATATTCACTCGCATGAATGGGCACAGGAGCACTTCCGTGCAGCAACCCAAGCCTGGGTCAAGCTCCAACGTGCAAAGGAAGAGCTTGTCACCATTGGAATCGAAGCTCATAGGATACTGACCTCCATGAGGGACGAGGAATTGTAGCTTGAGGAGACCATCGAGGTTGTAACCGCCAGCAACCCCATTCTTGCATCGTACATCTCGATGACATTCAAGTGGCACATGAAAGCAAACTCCCATCTACGCAAGAAATTGGCCCGCCTAGAATCCCATCCTAGCTACCTATCCCCATGCGGACCTGGGGTTTCCATCCATTCTGTCCCAGGTGCCTCTGACGCCACTCAACAATCCAGCAGTGTCGAACCTGACTTACTTCCTACAATGGAGACAGCAGATAAGCAGCCCCTCGGTGACAAGGACAGTGATGATGACGGTATTGCTGAGGAAGAGGATGAAGAGCAGTTAGAATTTACCATGGATAAACTAGTTGACTTGTTTCATAGCATACTGTAAATTACATTGTTCATGATTCATAGTTTCTCTGCTGCAATCCGAGCCACTTGTGTATCCAATCAAAGTACAGTGGTAAAAGAATAAATCTGGCAATTGCTTTGAAGTTGGCTGGGGATCGGCTCTGAAGGGCAATCGATCCCCGTCACATGTACAGTGAAGTACAGCCAAATTACTATGACATAACTCACAGAGTATGATACTAACGATGAATTAATAACAATAAATCTAGGAATGCCAGAGTGTCACGACCCGACATATCCGACACCTCCCTCTACGCGTCCTAGTGCCACTTGGCCCGTCCCTCCCGCTATCATCATCATCCGTTCACCCATCCGTCCACCCGTCACCCTCATCCGCACTTCCTCCCTCGCGCGCGTGCCTACCAACCTAGGTTACCCGCTTCACTATTGTCTGCCCCCAGCCGGACGGCTTGCTAGACGGCCGGATGGTTCTTTCTCTTTTGTCCGCTTGCGGACTATTGTTCTTCCTTTTGTTTCTTGCTTTCCTTTTGTTGACCAAGTTTGCCGATATTAACTATTTGTTTCTTTCTTCATTCATTAATATCGCGCTTGATCCGCCACTCCTTCCGGGCCGGTCTCATTTAGTTACTTGTGTTTATAACGCGTGTAGGTTACACCGGATGTACCTTAGTTCGTATATCGACTTGGATTCCCCCTCTAACTCTTATCCTCATCGTAAGGCTTCTGTCTGAAATTGGGACACCAACGTAAGAACGAAGCGCAGCGCTCCACCCGAGTCGCTGAAGCTAAAGTCCCGCCCCTCCGACCTTACGAGCCCGGACGACCTCGCGCGCCTCGCGGGTCACCCGGATACGCTTCTGACACGTTCCTGACACAGAGACCAATCTCTTCATTATACATAGCCTATGTGTGTGTTTTCTTGATATTTAACCACATGGCCACAAGCCATGCATGTTGGAGGTTGTGGCGGTGCGTCAAGGTCTTCCACTTGTTCGACCCAACACTGCAGCTGCACTTGGTCATCCATTCCCATCACTAGCATGGACGATAGTGAGTAGTCTGGCTTTCTTTTTCACAAACTAACCAGAGCAACTAGCCACGATAATCTCACTGTGGCACGCTGTAAGGCCCAAGGCGGAAACTGCGTTCAAGCATTACCTCCACCTGTTGGCCGTCAGGAACGACTGGAACACTGATGAAGTGAAGGCTTTGGAGAATTCTGGCATCAGTGATGGCTTTTTAGAGTCATTTTGGCATGCCCAGAGAACTAACTGTGAGTTGTTCGACATTTCGATGTTGCCACATGTCAATCCAATAAACCCCCTCTCAGGGAGAAGCCCAATCAGAGGCGAGACTTTGGAAGATGCAGTACCTGCTGATGTTCTAGAGGCTGAAGTCAAACAGGTTGCTCGCCAAAGTATCTATCAGCATGTCGAAAAAATCAACAGGTTGCTTAAGGACATGGCACCTGCAGTGAGTACATAGTTTTAACCTTGCAAAATTACTCAGTGTTGAACTTCAGATGAACGTACTTGACTTCTTCAGTGTGCCAAGTTTGTCCGTGATCGACTACAGGAAAGAAGCGTTGAGCGTGCAAGTCCTTGCATCCCAATCCATTAAGGGCCGACCTGAATGGGACGAATTCAAGCAAGAAATCTTGCAGAAGCTAGAGCCATGCCAGTGTACACCACGGACTCAGCAACCATGCTGCTCATTGTCCATGACGACTGTCATATCCATCCCTGGCCATCGACTTCTGATCCCTCCGATTCCTCCGGTCTACTTCCGCTCCTTCTTCACTAACCTCGGAGCTCCCGTATTCCGCAATCCCCTCGGTACCCCTCGATGGTCACCACCCCCTCCTTTCAATTTATTACCTACACCTCCCTAAGTACAGAGCCCTGAAGGCTTCCGGACAGCTCTGACGTCCGCTAGCGCACTCCTGCCTCTGCTGGACAATACACTCGCTTGCCCTGCAAAGCCCACCTTCGGGCCTATCCCTCCTTTCCGTTTCTGGGTTATCGCCTGCCTTTCTGTTAACCCTGTAACCCAACTCGTTGGTAATATTCAATCGGCTAATGTCTAAACCCCATTAGCTCCACTCCGCTCGGCTCCGCCATTTGCGGACCTGCCCTCGCTGTAACTATATATACTTAACTTGTACATAGGTTGCACTCCAGTAATAAAATCGACTAGAGTTTACCCTCTTCAGTTCTGGTGGCCAGTTAGTAAGTTAGGGCACAGATGTGTTTACTTGGCACAGTGCTCCTGGCATAAGTCGCTGAGGCCAAAGCCCTCCATCATGGAGACACTCCCTCATCTTGATCAGGTCTCTGACAACGACCCACATCAGCCCCAACGCCTCTTGTACTGCCAACCCCTTTGTCAACAGTCATTCTGAGGCCAAAATTGAATCACCACCCAGTTCCCAGACTCACTTAAGCACCTCTGTTGCTGCCTGGCAGTCTGCAGTTCAGCACAGTTTGTCGCGTAAGTTGAAAAAGCTGATTCCACTCGAATACCGGCTCACAGGCTAGTAATAGATCAGCCGCAGGTCCTGGCAGACTCCCATCGGAGTCCTGCCCCAGCTTTCGAGGTAGGAACTTCGGTCTATGTAAAGGCCAAGTATTTCCGTTCCACCTGACCTTCCAAGAAGCTCTCTGAGAAAAGCCTCGGCCCATTTGAGATCATTGCCCGCATCGGAACCCACTCCCTCACTCTCCACCTGCCAGAAAACATGCAAGCCATTCACCCGGTATTCCATGTCTCACAGATTGAACCCTCCATCCCGAACATTATTCCAAACTGCCACCAGCCACCTCCACCTCCAATAGAAATCAAAGGTGAAATGGAGTTCGAGATTGAAGAGATACTTGACTCCAAGATCGACTGATGTAGATGCAACAAGTTGCTCTACCTGGTCAAGTGGCTAGGCTATGAAGGGACTGATGAGGAGACATAATGGCTCCTTGCTGGAGAACTCAATCACGCCTCCGACCATGTCGAAGCTTTCCACTCTCGGTACCCAGACAAGCCTGGTCCCAAAGCTCCTTAGGAATCTCGACTCCTCTCCCATCTCTCCCATCTCTCCTTTCTCTCCACTCCTCATTTCTGTTTTCCTTTTTTCTGTAAGTACAGCCCCCCTCACCTTACTAATTCTGGGCCTTCAAGGGTTCAGGCCTAAGAAGGGGATACTGTCATATCCATCCATGGCCATCATCTTCCACTACTTCCGATCCTTCCAGATTACCTCCACTCCTTCTTCATTAACCTCGGAGCTCCTGTATTCCGTAATCACCTCCAACTCCCTTGATGGTCACCACCCCCTCTTTTCAATATATTACCTATGCCTCCCTAAGTACGGAGCCCCGAAGGCCTCCGGACAGCTCCAACATCCGCTAGTGCATTCCCGCCCCTGCTGGGCAATTCACTTGCTTTCCCTGCAAGTCTACCTTCAGGCCTATCCCTCCTTTCTGTTTCTGGGTTATAGCCCACCACTCTGCTAACCCCGTAACCCGACTCATCAGTAATATTCAATCAGCTAATGTTTAACTCCGTTAGCTCCGCTCCGCTTGGTCCCGCCATTCATGGGCCTGCCCTCACTATAACTATATATATGTAACTTGTACATAGGTTACACCCTAGTGATAAAATCGACTAGAGTTGATCCCCCTTTTAGTTCTCGTTGCCAGTAAGTAAATTAGGGCACAGATGTGTAACTTGGCACAGCACTCCTGGTCTGAGTTGCTGAGGCCAAAGCCCTCCACCATGGAGACAACTCCTTCATCTCACTCTGGTCTCTAGAAAGGATGGATGGTGGTGACAGTGCCAATACTGCACCATGGTCCAGGTGCTAGAAAACAATCAACAAAATCTCACTAAATCAGTAGTCCTTCTTGGACAGTTGTCAGGAGTCAGAGATACTGTATAAACTTGTACATCGCTCTCTGGTGTCAGTAAACTTATCAAACAACTTGTTACTTGGTGGGGGTGTCCCTTCTCATTGGGGGAGTCCTCTGTACCATACATGAAAATGTGCGCTATAAGTGAGAAATTGCAGGGCAAAGGGGAAGAATAGAAATATGCCTCTATGGCGACACAGAATAGCAAAGAAAGTGATGGAAAGGAAATACAAATAAAAGAATATCAGAAACAATAAAATGAATGATGGAAATAGTATCCGGGCATCCGGCAACCTTCTCCTGCCGCCCAAATGGACTCTCCTCCCCCGTAGCTTTCCAATGGTACTAATTTCATCCAAATCCATCCAGTGGTTCTTGAGATATGACTGGAATTGGGTGGCCACTAGATTGACAGGTGTGGGAATCTTGACTGTAGGGCTGGAAATGCATTGGAAAAATAGGAAAAATAGGGAAAGGGTAGAAAGGGTATCTGGGACCACATATAAGGTGCATCAGGTACAGGGTGTTCATCAGGGTGTCAGAATTGCGATTTCTGGGCTTGTTTGTATGGTAGCAGAGATTCCCGCCTAAAGTGCAGCTCGCTTGCTTGAGATGGGATGCTCAGGCTAAAAGTTACAGAGCCATCGAGTTTTGCGGCCCAGGCAAACGCTGCTGGGCTAACAAACTTGATGGAAGGGGCCTTGTCAGAAACTGTATTCAAGGTATATGCAGGGAGCGGAGCAGAGTACAGCGGCGTGAGTGGTCACTTAGCTAATGAGCTACTCCATTGCAAGGCATTGTGGGGGTTCGGCTTCAACAACTTGGCTAGAGCATTGTGCCATGTGTTCTAGGCTGTCCTGTATTTCACATTTAGTGGGAAGGACCTTGTGGCAACATTGACTTAAGCGGGGATGAAGTTGAGAGGCGAACTTAAGACGAGAGTACTTTGGGGGAATTCTAGTCGATATTTGAACTGAGGTACATCGACAGTAAACTACAAGTATAAGTACGAAAGGAGAACAGAGAAGGGGCCAGTCGGTCCAGCGCAGGATGGGAGTGGGATGGTAAGTGCAACAAAACTAAAAGAGCGATGAGGACCAGGGAAATGGAACAGAAGAAATGAATGGAACAGAGGACGGCAAAGTTGGGAGGCAGAATGAATAGGCTGACAATCTAGGCGCCAATATGGTGGCGGATCAGAATGTCAATATACAAATAAATCAAATGTCAATAAAGGAGTAACCAAGTGTCAATAAAGGAATAAACCAAATGTCAATAAGGAGCAGATCAGTGGCGACAATATCGACCACTAGTAAGTTAAGTGAATGAATAAGAATAAAATGGTATCGGCCAAATGGCTGAGGAACTCAAGTGGTGGTGGGAGAAAGAAGGAGGCACCACTATGGGGCCATAGACAGGAACCACTATTGGCGCCGCTAAGTGATGGACAATGGCACGAATAATGGGCATGAATAACGGGCACAAGAATGGGGGTGCAGATGTGTCAGGGCACACCCGCCTGACCCGGCTCCACCCGGCCCAACCTGACCCGGTACCCCACTGGTCCACCCTTCCTTACCTCCTCCCCCTTTCCCTTCTTTCCCTCTCATCCTTCCCCCCTCAGCTTCTCCTTATCCTACTTCTTCTTTATTCTCTCTTTATTCTACATGGACGACTTTCTCTGTATCAATGTACCATTGACCCATCTGCAGCACGCCCACCATGTACCCGGCCCAGGCACCTTGGGCGACTTCCCGCTGTGCCCAGCACACGCGCCTGCACCGGATGCCCTTGGGATCTCCCACGGAGATACCCGGGTGGTTACGGCTGTGTGCGAGGGTGACGTGGCACCCGTCATGTGATCCAAGCCGCATGTATATAAACGAACCTGAAGTGGGAACCGAAGAAGTAGCCTTCTTCTCAACTTTCCACTTCAGGTAAGTAGTACAATATCTCTCCTTTAATGATAATAACAACTTTCCACTTCAGTCTAAGTGGCCAGGGACCACTGTCCCGCATCGGGCCTGTCAGTACGCACGCCCGATCCGCCCCCCACCAGGCTCTCAGTCCCGGACACTACACCCGGGTCCCCTCGACCCCGGACGAGTCCCTGACAAGATGATGGAAGTGGTAGAAGGGCAGGGACTTTGCAGGGCTGTGACAGGCCTGGTGGTCAGGGTTACATGGCATGTTGGTGGTGGGGACTAGTGTGTCCGCTGGAGGGACTACATGCAGCAGGGTTTCAGGAGGGCTCTGGGGGGTCGGCCTGGGTTGTTCAGATGTTGTTGTGGGGACAAGTCTGTGCAGGCCAAACCAACATCTATTGCACACTTCACCCCCTACTGCATCAGGGACTAGGATTGGTGAGTCGTCGTAATAGTAGGAGTTGTGAAGGTTGTAGAGGTGGTTCTGACGAGTCCAAGATCGTCGGATTTGGTAGAGTGGTTGAGGAGATATGACTTGTTCTTTATTTTCCTTACTATTTTCATTCATTCACGCATGTGACTTTCCTTTTATATTTGTATCGGACTCTTCCATGACAACTGTACAGACAGTTAGTTAGAGGTTACAGAGAGTATCAGCACCGTACTCCCAAGGACCACATCTACCTGAGAGATAGAGAGAGACCTACCCCCCCAGACCTGAGTAGTGAGTCTAGATTGATAGACCCATTACAACATCCAGAAGGTTATACTGCTCTTTGCCCATTCAATCAACAGATTGTAGCAGGCAAGCCAGTTGTGTCCCAGAATGATAGCACAGGAGCCATCCAACAGGGTGACATAGAATGTTGTCAGGGTAACATTGCTGGTAACAAAATGGATGGGGAGATCGATGGCACACGTTATCATTTGATTTGTCATGCCATCGAACAAGCGGAGCTGCATTGTGGGTATGGAGTAGGTCTGTAAATTGTGTTTATTAACTGGCTTAGTATCAATAAAACAATCGGAAGAACCTGAATCAATTAGAGTGGGAAAAACAAAAG